CAGCATGAAGAAAAGTAATATTGCGATCAGTTAATACGGGAGCTCGACCCCGGGGCACTTATTTCCTTCGTTTTCTGCCTTCGAAATTGCTGAGAGGGGTTCGTGAGAGAAACGAGACAAAAAAAAGCAAACACCTCGAGGCTAGCCCTGCGCCACCCCGTTCGTTCCGGTTGCTATTTTGTTCCTTTGTTTTGATCTGCTACTTTTTGTCTTTTTGATTACCAGGGCTTGTCCAAAAGTCAGGCGAGGTCTCAGGCGGGCAGCGGAAGCTGCGGGCCGGTGGCTCCCCCCGTCCCCGCCTGCCCCCCCCCCCCCATTTTCCTTCTTTTTCTTTTCTTTTCACGCCGTCTTCCCCAAGGCTGACACTGAAAGGGGGGCAAATTGTGAGGGAAAATAGGGGCGACGACGGTGCTCCCCTGGGCGCCGCAGCGCGAGGTGCAAAAGGCTGAGCGGGCGCGCGGTTGCGGTAATAAAAAAGATTCGGTGTGCTTCGAGATATGCAAGAAAAGGGAGAGGAGCCTTACTGGATGTGGCTCTGGAACCTCCACTGCTGTGCAGAGGGATGAGGGGGACTTGCAGAAAGGCGGTGACGTCGCCTTGTAGACTTGTTCGCTTGCATGCACGTGTCATGGGGGGGGGGGACCTTGGAATAAACGTGGCCCGTCCTCCTTTCTGCATCCCACGCATCCCTTGCGCTGGCGAGGCGGCTGCATGGGGACATGCGAGGCGCAAGGCGCACGAAAAAAAAAACCAGACGGGCGCGGGTGGACAGGCGCAACGCAGACACGCAGTCACAGGTGGCATGCTCTGATTCTCTGCCCGGCGTGCCTGGCGCCCCTCCCAGCCGTCTCCAGTCTTGTGCAGCTGATCGCCAGCAGCCCACGGCGGGGGGATGCCATCGATCTGCCGCGATCACTAAAGTGCGCGCTGGGTGTGCATGGGCCCGACGGCGACCTCTGAGTGGTGGCGGGTACGTATTGTGCGCATACTGCGAGGTTGGGCACATCCGGTGATCCGGTAGCCCAGCCCTTGCCAGCAGGCAGACCATGATGGATACCGTTCTAGTATAGTACAGTTGGCAACCCGATGAGGTGGTTTGTTGATTTCCGTTTTGGGAGCAAGTAAACAATGGGCCATCAACAGAACCCCTCCTCCTCGCCTCCTGGATTTTGATGTCTTGGTTATGTATATTGTTGTTGTTTCTTTTGCGTCTTATTTTTTGCGTCTTATTTTTTGCAGTTTGCAACGCAGATCTCCATCCTACCTTAAGGGACTCCAGGAAACCCTTCCCGCAGCGGCGATAACCTTTTTGGGCCGTGTTATGCGGGTGAATGGAACAGCCACCTTAGGGCATTGGTGGTGTGAAGGACCCTTTTCCCTGGCATTGGGTGGTCGGCCAGCCCCAGGGCTCCGGGGGTGCTCCCAGCTTCGAAAGTTGGCAGCAAGCCTCGACGCTAAGCTAAGGTGTCGCCGTTTTACCGTACGAAGATCACGAACCAGGCACACGGTGGTGTGGGCTCCCGATTGGGCCGGCATTTTACGGCATTGGCAGACGGCTGGGTCAGGGTGGTGGGTGGTGGCCAGGATGGGAGAGGTGGGATGGAGGGGAGCCAAGCTGCAGAGCGAAAATCAAAACAGGTAGCGAGGGGGAAGAGAAGAAAAAAAATCGTCCCAAGTTCTGGCTCATTCCTCGCGCGCGCAGGGTTGGCATGGGCGCGAAGCCGCCTGCTCTCCCGTGAAACGCCTTGACGCAGGCCAGGTGGCGACTTTCTCGGCCGGCGGCCTGAGTCAATATTGGGGGTATCGCGCACGGGAGAAGGGGAAAAAGGAAGGGCCAGCGGCCAAAGCAACAATGGGGCGGCGGCTGCTGCTGCACGGACAAACGACGTAGCGAAGGGTCAAAGACAGTAGGAAAAACAACAAAACAGACAACAAAGACGACGTGAACGAGCCCGGTGGAGGCATGGCGTGGGAAACGAGAGACAACGGTTAGGGTTTGGCTGGTCTAGTCTGGGGGTCTATTGTCGTTGCATTCTTCAGTTCGTTCCAGCTGGGCCATCCGCAGAGGCAGGCACGAGCAGGCACGAGCAGGCACGAGCAGGCGAGGCGTCTGCGGCAGGCGGAAGCGACGGGACTCCCAACCATGGCCAAGGCCAGCCCAGCCGAGGCCTCATGGCATGAACAACACATTTGCAAGTCACCAAAGTGCAATATGGGAAACCGGAAATCGGGAAATAGGCACTTACCCAACGGGATGCTGGGGGAGTGGGACGAGGGAGGCTGGGGGGAGTGCAATATCGATTTTCCCGCCTCCTCAGCGCGCTGCAGAGCACGGCGGCCGCTGTGACGGGCGTGGACGGGCGTGGACGCAGCGGGGGCGCGCTTGCTGGTTGGGACCAAGACCAAGCCAGCAGGGAGCCAGCAGGGTGGGGGCTAGGGTTCAGGGCCAGACCCCTGCCCAAAAGTGGACAAGGAGACGCGTCCCACTTATGTGCACGATCCCAATTGGGTAAGAGAGTAAACAACACGCGCCGCTGGCCACTCAGAGGGCCGCAATCCGTCGGCCTCGGGGCATGACTGGGGGGGATTTTCCCACGAGAGCCCGCATCCACCGCAGCACCCACTGCAGCACACACGCAGGCATCCACCCCGACCCCCTCGACCCTCCAAAATTGAAAGTCCGGCCGATGCCTCCTGTCAATCTGTCGCTCGCCCGTCCTTCCTGTCTGCCGTCCATCAAACACCCGCGACCACCCGCGACCCGCGACTGAAGTACTCGGGGGCCTTTCGAGACTTGTCGCCGTCATCCCAGCGGGAGAGAATCGAGCACCGAGCATAGTCGCTCTTGCAAGCGCTGGACCAGAGTTCCAGAGCCCAGAGTGTCGTCATTGACATCATCATTCGCCACACGGGCTGTGACTGTTTTCTCAGCGTAAACCCACGACTGCGACTGCCTGTACTTTTACCTCCAGCTCCGACCACCGCCGCGCCGCCAACGACCCGTCCCGGACATTCCTCCCTCGACTTTGCGCGCCAGCCAACACCACAAACAGAACCAGCCAACACACACCCTCACCTCAGCGCGGGACTGGCCACAAAACAAAAACACCAGCGCCGCCCCGAATCATGCTGTAGATCGGTCCAGTCGGATCCTCCCTTCTTTCTCTCCCCCTCATCTTAACGTGGCGCACACCCTGCCCGGCTTGCCTTCTTCGTCGCCCTACCATCCACCAACCCATCCTTCTTCGCTTCATGCACGCAGGCACTTTTCACTCCTAAGAAACGGACCGTTCCAGCCCTGCGCCGCCTCTTCTCGTTGTACTTTTTGTTTCAAAAAAATCAGATCATCAGAGCAGCGCTTTCCCTGATCTGCCCCATCACAAGCAAGCCACCACCACCGCACGAGGCGCACCTTCCTATACCCACCGACGATATAGAGGTAGCTTACCCTTCCGACCGACTTCAAGCCGGCAGTTGCTTTCCACCTCTTTTCAAGTTTTCCGCTTCGCCCCTTTCGGCCTGCCTACCACCCAGCTGCATCGTTCGCACGGGATCTCACCCTCGGGCGCATGCGCTGGAGCCCGCACGGCTTAAAAGCAAGCACGGGAGCAGTGTTTCGGCGTCAGACCGTCGCATTCCAGGTCAATGGCGTTCTCAAACTCCAGCGGGGGCACTCTGACGCTTCCATCGCCAACAGGCGTGCACCACGTCGACGTGAGCGCTGCTGTCCGCTCTCTCAGACGGTCGCTGTCGCGCTCACCATCGAAATTCCACCTCATGCGCACCGCATCGGACAGCTCCGACAACGCGGCTAGCTCGCCTAACTCGCCGTCGCCGCAATCGCCCTGCCCACAACAGTTCCGCAGTCATCAGCAACAACAATCGGTCGCGTCGCCCCACCCCGCGCCCGCATCAACCTTCGCCCAATCCACGCCTTTCTATCAATCGGCGCACGCCTCGCACACACCCGTAGGCTCGCCATCGCCATTTCGCTCCAACGTGAAGCTGTCGCTTCGCTCGTCGCGCCCCAAGGCCGCCTCGGCCAAGCCGTCGCGCACGCGCCCCTCTCCGCGCAGCCCACTGAAGAGGGCTCTGAGCTCCAACACCGACGCCGGCAACGCCGCGCCGCCCTCATTTACTCCAACCCTCGACGCCTTCTCGGGACAAGAAAACAACTTCAACTCGTTTTCTCAGACTTTTGGTAACAGTGGCCGCTCCAGCGTCTTCGGGCAGAAGGCCGGGTCGCGTCACAGCATGCATCTAGATCTTTCTGGCGCCTCCAAAGGCGGCACGTCGACGACGCGCTTCATAGAAAACAAGAGCGAGACGTACCCGACGTCGACCCTCAGTCCCATGAAGAGATCGGATTCCATCATGACGACAGATTCCCAGGGCAGCCCCGTCGCTAAGCGGCGTAGCCTGCATGGCATCGCAAGCCTTGGCATCGATTTCAACACCATTCTCGATCAAACGCCACCACCACCGCCGCCGCCTCGTGCGAGCTTCGAGATCCACGACGACATCAACCAAGAGTACAAGCTAACGGGCTCCCCATCACTCTTCAGCCGCGAGTTTGCTTTCCCGTCTTCTCCCACCCCTGCTGCCGTCCCCAAGCGCTCATCTTCGCTGCGCAAGTCGACCCTGCAGCAGCGCCATGACCCACGATCATCCTGGGGCAAGCGACAAGGAGAGAGGTACCTGGCTCAGCAGTCATTCGAGGCGTCGACCCCGGCTCCGCGTGGCAAGCAGCACAGGACATCCCTCGACCAGATGCTTCAGCCTGATTCTCGCGAGAGTCCCTTTTCATCGCGTGGCCCTCTCCCTAACGCCTCTGCGCACTTTCCCGACAGGCCCCCCCACCAACCTCACCCGCTTTCGAGGACAATCACGACTTCCTCATCATCTGGCTCCAGCATCGTGGCGGACGATTCGCCTACCCACTTCCCGCCGCCGCCGCTGCCAGTGGATCGCACTAGGGGACCACTGAACTTTGCCAAGTCGCTCCCTGTTGGTGCTGAGAGGCCTAATGAGCCCCTGGCTACTCCGTCGTACAAATCGGCGAAACCGCTACAGGCCGTGTTTGCGGCGTCCACCGGACTGGTTTCCAAGATGAACCGGAACCCGGAAATTGACCCTGCCCAGCGCGGTGGCTCCAAGAAGATGATGATGCCTGACACACCCTGCAAGACCAGGAGAGACGTGTACCAGTCAAGTCAGAACTACCCTCACAACACTTATCCTCCCTCATCTGGGAGTTCCCGCAAGCAGCGACGGTCCCTCATCTCGAACCAGAGCCCCTTCAGCCCCGCGCCGAAGCCCAGCTTTACGGGGTTTGGGAGCTCCGAGAGGCCAGGCGGCCTCTTCAAGCTGCGGAGCAGTCACAGCCGCAAGAGCAGCATGCTCAGCTTTGATAGCGATGGGGACGCCCAGCTGACAACTGACATCGAGCTTCCTCCTACCCCAACCAAAGCCCTGGTCGCAGCGAAATCTGTGTCTACGGGAGCCATCCACTCGACGCCCCTGGGCAATCGCCGCACTTTCGCCCCATCTGCATCCGCATTTGGTGGTTCAGTTGTACGGACAACCCCGACGGAGCTGAGTGGTAAGTCACGTCTGCCTGTCAAGTTTTCTCGGGCGGAAAGGGACACTTTGGACTTGTTCGATGTGGCAGCCTCACCGGCTGCTCACCGAACCAGGGCGTCATGTGCCACCATTTCACGCATGCCTGCCGCTCTTGAGCGCAGTGTTCGGCGGGGACGGGCCTACACCACCTCGCTCGACCACGACATGGCGCCCACGACGCCTACTCTTGGTGGCAGCGTTTTCAACACCAAGCTGGAGTTTGCTAAGATTGGCGATGTGTCTCCAGCGAGCCCAAAGACGCCATCAGACGCCGGCGTTCCTCTTGATGCCAGCCGTCTCTCAATTTCCGGACATGACGAGCCCGCCCGTCGTCTGGCGGTAAACCCGCCGGCCACCCCTACCACGACAACTGGGCGTGGCTCCGTCTTCGATTTCGGCAGCCGCCGCGCCATTACTCCTGTGAATGGCACTGGCCCTGGTGAGATCGACCTGGTCCTTGCCTCGCGCTTCACCAAGATCGAGTCCATCGGCAAGGGCGAGTTCTCCCAGGTCTTCCGCGCCTCGAGTCTCCCCGCGCCCAAGACGTTCGGTGGCATCGCTGGCACCCCACCTACCCCTGTCGCGGAGCGTCTTTATGCGGTCAAGAAGCTGCGACATGCGTTTACCGGCAACAAGGACCGTGAGAACAAGATGCGTGAAGTTGAAATCCTGAAGGCCCTGAAGGGGTCCGACAACATCCTCCAGTTCGAAGACAGCTGGGAGCATCGGGGCCACCTTTACATCCAGACCGAATTCTGCGAGGAGGGTAGCCTCGAGAAGTTCCTGGGTGACATTGGCCATCTGGGTCGCCTCGACGACTTCCGAATCTGGAAGATTCTGCTCGAGATCTCGCAGGTAAGCACACCGAATCTGGTAAAACTTGGTTCACGAACCCATGTGAGACTAACATTTGCTTTGTTTGTCCTAGGGTCTCAACGCCATTCACGACGCCGGCTTTATCCATCTCGACCTGAAGCCAGCCAACATCTTGATCACCTTCGATGGCACGCTCAAGATCGGTGACTTTGGCATGGCTACCACATGGCCTGCCGCCAGGCACGTCGAAGCCGAGGGGGACCGCGAGTACCTCAGCCCCGAGATTCTTCAAGGCCAGGTCGACAAGCCCGCCGACATCTTCGCCCTCGGTCTCATCATCCTCGAAATCGCTACCAACTCTTTCCTCCCCGACAACGGCCCGACTTGGGTTGCGCTGAGGGAAGGCGACCTTTCTCTCGTTGACTCTCTCACCTCGGCCGAAGCCCAGGATATCAAGCGGGACGCACGCGGAGTGCCGTTGACCCAGGACCCCACGCCTTATGAGGAGCTTGTGGGTGCCTTTGGCACGCCTCAGCGCGAATTTCCCTTCGGCCGTGTTCAGCAGACCTACAACCCTAGCAACCTTTTTGGCTCGCCGAAGCGGGTCCAAGAGCCCGTCGCCCCGACCTTTATGCGAGACTCGGCCGACCAAGGCTCGCTCGATGCGCTCGTCCGGTGGATGATTCAGCCCAAGGCGGCGGCACGGCCACGTGTCCGTGATGTCCTCGACTTCTCATCTATCAGCTGGGTCTCGAGGACCCGTCGGGCTCCCGCGACCGTCTTCGAGGGCAACTGGGGCCCTGAGGGAGCCGCAGCCGGCAAGCCTACTACGAACGACGACATCGAGATGATGGATGTCTGAAGCACCCATTCCTCTAATGGCGAAATCACCTAACTGCCTTGGCTGCCCTGCTTGCTCCCTTGGAGAACCTATCTTTGTTGAGATACTGGATATGGCACATGGAGATCTGGCAGGAAGTTGTTTGACTTGTCCTTGAATTGTTCGAGAGGAATTTTACTGGATATCCTCGCGCGCAAAGGATTATCGCGGCTCTATTCTGGAGGCCACGAAAGCCGGGCCGACCCGCAACAACAGCTCCAAAGCAGAGACGCTAGCACCAATCCCCCGATATACATCACCTACTATGACGAATTTTACGACATACGGAGACTCGAACCCTGTGGCTCGGCTGCGGAATAACCAACGTTGCAACATTGCCAACTGCCTGTGCTTCGGGCCTAGCACGCAACGCACGGCATTTACCATCACCGCATCACTAGGACATGAGCTCCTCATCCGCCTGGAATGGCGGCTCTACACTAATACCCACACCCATCTCATCTGTTTGAGGGAAAATCTTCTTCTCTAATACCAGGGACTGCAGCAATGCACCGCAGTCCCTGTGTCGACAGTGGGCCCGTCTCGCCATTACGAGGCGAAATGCAGCTCGACACTCGACTCTTCCCACCTGGGTATGTACCTGGTGGTATTGTACTTTGTTACACCGGAGGCTGGGTTGGAATTTGGTGGACCAAAACATCATGTACAGGAACGGTCAGGGGCATGGTTTGGTGGGCGGTAGCAATAACCTTGGCATAGGTTTGCTTGTTCATTTTCATCTCTTCCTTTTTCTTCGCTCTTTTTCCTATTGTCCTGGCTCATATTTGCTTTCTTTTCTTCTTGTCTCTGGGAAAGGAGGGACATTGCCACCAACATTATATCGCATCTGCCCCATCACCCCCGTCTGTATCGGGAGGAGGTCGCTGGCTATCATGACTGAATGACGGACGATAAACGATGAGTTAGTTATTCTGCATCTACCATTTAGGACAATAGCAGAATCTGCTTTCTGAAACGCCTTGTTTCCCTTTGCATGTGATGATGGCTCGCATTTTTGCACATGACTCTAGTTCCATGTTTCTAGGTATCTAACGACGACGGATTACGGACGCAAGGCTAACTGCTGGATGTGCCGTCATCGATGCTGCCTGTTGACCAAGAAGGCAGGGGGAGGCGGGGTCAGGTCAGGATAGCGGGAGCAAATATGATGTGCATTGCATCTGGGCTGGCTATTCTGGCCGCATGCAGGCAAGCGGGGGAAACGAAGACGAAGTAAACAAATGCATGATTGACGCGTTCATTGGCAGATAGATGGGCGACTTGGTCAAGTCGATGTCATGGCGGGCGAGGGAGGGTGGGATGAGTGGATGATGGCTGGCAAGGAGCGCCATTCTTGCTCGTGGAGACCATGTCTCGGGGGAGTCCCCGACTGCGGCCAAGAGCAGCGGCCGGCGCGGGGCGTGGATGACGGAGGATCAGGGAGGGCGTCGATGCAGTGAGGGGAGGGTGAGAGAGAGAGAGGTTAAAAGACAGGTCTGGATGGCTGTGTGACCCGCGATCCCAAGGCTAGGCCAGGCACCAGGTCGGTAGGTATCCAGACTGCCATGGAGCTAGAGAGACGCCTGCCTGCCCCGCCTGCCTGCCTGCCTGCCTACTGCTGCGCACGCGCACACTGCGGACTCGAGGCATGGATGGCGGCAGGACTGGTAGGGCGGCGGGATGTGCTGACATGACACGGCATGCTGCGCCGTAGACCAACGCCCCCTCCCTCCCCCTTCTCCCGAGCTGCTGCCGGTATATCTGTACAAGGCTATGCATGACACGGGCATGACCGCAAGCGCGTTCTGCTTCTTATACTGTGTAGCATCCAGTAGGACGTATTGCAGGCGCCTCCATCCCTCCCGGCCTGAAACTGCTCAACCCCAGTATCCGTCACGCCCGTCAGCCCCCTCCGTCCGTCCCGTTGCACACGCGCCCCCGCCTCCCCCCTGTGCCTGCCAGCTGCTGCGGTGGTGGGGGAGGAGGTATATCAAAAATCGTGAGTCGAAAGGCACCCCCACAACGTCGACGATGATGGTGGTGGTCAGGGCCAAAAATAACCTAAAAGTGGATGTGGATGAGAGAGAAAAAGAAAGTAAAGACACCAAAAAGGGTAAGAGTAAACAAGAATCAAAACAAAGAAACACAAAATCATATACATGAAACAATAAACAAACGCCCACTGACGCCCCTCCGCCCTCCCCCCGCGATTCCCAAGGAAAAAAAAAAACCCTCGCCGGTGTATTTCGTCATCGTCTCGGTCTATTGAGGGGAGTTGGAGAGGGGTGAATGACATCAGGGATGATTGCGACGTCGGCAATAGAGGTTTGTTTTGGCAAACGGCCGGGTTCCCTTGGACGCTACTGTACCTGCCTCCCTCGATCTAGGCCGGTGTGTTGTGTTTGTTTGCGGGCAAGGAAAGTCAATTCCTGTTTCAACTTCACTCCCCAGCACCACCACCACCACCACCACCCCTCACCGAGCCGGGGTACGACCCGCCCTGGGCGGTGGACCTGCCGCTCGAGGGCTTGTGGTGGCGCGCGCTGCGGAGGGTGGGCTGGTAGACGTCGTTGAAGTTCATGGCGATGCCCAGGAAGCGGGTCTCGTGCTCCGTCTGGTAGGCCAGGTCGCCCAGCAGGCGCTGCACGCGCCGGCGGAAGTCGGAGCCCAGCGTGCGCAGGCGCTCCTGCAGCGCGGGCAGCTCCGACGCGGCCGAGGAGGCAAAGGAGAGCGGCGGGTTGCTGATGTTGGCTTGATGGTGGTGGTGGTGGTGGTTGTTGTTGTGGTGGCGCTGGTTGATGTTGGGGTGGTTGTGGGTTTGGGTGCCGCCCATCTCGACGTCGTCGGCGCTTCGGCGGTTCCTGATGTTGCCGCCGCCGCCTCCGCGGGCCGTCTGGTTGAAGGCGTCGTTCTGGCGCTCCGTAAAGTCAGAGACGGCCCACGAGTAGAGGCCGTCGACGCAGTCGCGGTACGAGAGGATGTTGCGCAGCAGGTCGGCGATCTGGTTCATGGGCACGGACCGCTCCTCGTCGGCGGCGCCGGCGTCGGCGATGGACGTGTCGGCAACCCCGGCGGCGCTGCGGCGCTGCTTCGCGCCGAGTAGGCCCTTTTGGGTGATGGTGTTGAGGTAGGTCGTGTGCGCAGTGATGAGGTCGTCCAGCGTGGCGTCCTCGCGCGACAGAGCGGCCTGGAGCTGGCCCCACGAGGCCTCGATGACCTCGAACAGGATGTAATACTGCAGTTGGCCGGCCCAGTGTATCATCTCGGCCAGGACGCCGCGGGTGGACTTCCACGTCTGCGTGACGGTCGGGTCGTCCGACTGCAGGACCCCGCGCGAGCCCGTCATGCAGCGGCGCCACGTCGAGTGCACGGCGAACTCGACGCGCTTGACGCGCCACAGGAAGTTGAACATCTTGAGGTATTGGCGGCTGTGCCACTCGGTCAGGATGCAGTCGACGGGGGCGTCGATCTTGTACTCAAGCGTGAACAGGTCCCAGCCGATGTCGCCCTGAGACAGCTGCAGCATGCGCGCGTCGAGGCGTCGTAGGACCTCGGGGCTGGCGTACTGGGCGTTGGAGCCGCGGATGGCCTCCTCGAGCTTGGCTGTCAGGGTGTGACGGTACTGGGCGCCGGCGGGGCGGTCGAGGTTGGGTGCCAGCGACTCCATCAGCAGGGCGATGAAGTCGCCCTGGCCAAGCAGGATGTAGTCCTTCATAGCCTGCAGGTGCTCGAACAGGTGGAACTTGGACGTCATGAGGTGCATGAGGCGCTTCATGGTGGTCTTGTAGGCCTCGTCGATCCAGCCCTCGAGCGTGGCCGTGTCGCCGTAGCGCAGCTCCTTGGAAGCAGCCTTGCCGTATGCCTCAACCCACTCCGAGTCGCCGCAGCTGTGGCGGATGAAGTTGAGTGACTTGCCGATGAGGAACACCTTTTGCGCAAAGTCGGCGCTCATGATGCTGGGCACCATGGCCTCGTCCACCTCGAACTTGTCGTTCCATACCGAGCTGAGCCCGCGCGCTTTGGCCTCGTGGGACTTGGCCGCGCCAGGGTCTTGTTCGCGCACAAAGAACTCGCAGTACGGATCCGAGAGCTCGCCGTCGTAGATCCAGTGCCGCAGCATGTTGTAGAAGGGCCGCGTGACGTGGGCCAGGAGTCGCTCCGCGAACGCGCCCACCGTCGGGTCGCCGTGCGACGTCGAGAAGCTGTGCACCAAGGAGATGAGCGCACCGCCGCGCCGGCTGCCCGACTCTTCGGCTATCAGCGACAGTAGCCGCAGCCCCATGGTGGCCTCGCGCGTCCACACCACAAGCCGCTTGAGCGTTACGCCCGCCCGCCCGATCCCAGACCGCGGCGCCGATCCGTCGAGCGCCGCGAGCGCCCGCCGTACCTGCGCCTCCAGAGTCGCCACTAGGCTCAGGTACGACCGCAGCTCACTAGTGATGGCTGCCCGCAGGCTCTGGCCCAGCAGCCCCGTCGCGGGCGACTTGACGAAAACATCTAGACGGCGGTAGAGCAGCGACGGCTCGGCCAGCAGGTGGAGGAGCGATACGATGGGCGCAGGCAATGTTGCTGGCAACTTTAGTGTCGTCTCACCCGCGAAGGGGAGCGTGGCCGAGGAGAGACCTTGTAACGTGAAGGGTAGGTCCCGCAGGAGCACCGTCTCGGACGGGTTCAGCTCGACCGAGTTGTCTGCCAGAAGCGTCGACTTCAGCGATACGTCCCTTTGTGGGAGCGCCGGGTCCATGTCCATAGCATCGCCCCCGGCAGCATCGGCGGCGGCGGCAGCGGCCGCGGCCTTGGCCTCCTCGGGGCCCCTTCTCGTCTTTTCGGGCGGGAATTTGCGTAGTCCGCCTGGCTGGAAAGCATCGTTGATTTCGTCCCCAGAAGCCGAGGGTCTTGATGGTGGCTGCTGTTCCCTGTCATCTTGCCGGCGCACGCCATCACCCCTATCCCTCGGCGGAGCTGGCCTTTTGACAAGCGGGCTGACTGGTAGTGGCTCGCTGGGGTCTGGCGAGTCTGAGAGTTGGTAGAGAAGGTAGAGGATGGCCCACTTCTTGTCGAGCACGGGCAGGGACAGCAGGCGGGTATATAGGTTGGAAAAGCGCAGGGCCTGGCTGGGATTTGTGCTGATCAGCTTGCGCTTGATCAGGTCAGAGGCGTGGTTCGCATCGGACGCGATGGGGGTCGTTCCGTGGCTGCGTGGGCGGGCGTGTTAGTGGCTGGGTTGATAGCTGGATAGCTGGGTAGCTGGGCAGACAGAAGGCCCGACAGCTAAAGTGGGCGCACAACGCACGTATTGAGAATGTTCTTGACTATCTGGAAGCAGGCTGCATGGCGCTCCTGCGAGAGCTCGGGGTTGTTGGGGTCTGCGGGGACGAGGTGGGATATCAGGCCGTCGACGGCGTTGGCGATGCGGTGCTGCGACATAGTCGCATGTCTGCTGATGCTGCGGTCGCAGGTATGGATGCGGGTATGGGCGTTCTCGATTCCAAAGTAGCGGCGCCTGTTCCAGCATGAGCTACGCTCGTCGTCGCCGTCGTCAAGGTGAGTGCTCAAGGGGTGGGCCACACCGCGATTGGGCCTTGACTTTTGGTGGCGGGGAGCAAAGACGCGCCAGATTGACGCGATTTCAGTGGATGACGGGCCTGAACAGCCCGTGCAGCAGGCTGGCAGGGGATCGATGCGGCTGCAGTCCGTGTGGGGCCACACGTCCAGGGTACAGCTGCTCTAGGGCAAACTCCAGCCAAGGCGTGGTACCTGGTACTCGCCCAGGGCTGCAGCATCCACTCCAGGACCCAGGGGCTCAAGTTGTTCTCCGGCTGCCAACAAGAGCTCCGCAAATTTCGAACCACATGCGGAACGTCACGGTACGCATCCACGCATTTGGCGTCCGCACAAGAGCTGCCGGCCGCAACTTTGCCATCACCTCCTCGGCCAGGACTGCCCGAATCTATCGTCCCGACATCGAACCTGGGATCGCGCAATCGCCCGCTTTCTTCCGATGCGCCCATGACCCCGGCACTGTCCCCGCGCCGGGCCACAGAATCGCACGCGACGCGCGGCCGCCGCAGCTCGCAGCAGCAGCAGCTATTCCGACCATATGATCCAAGTCTGTCGCCGCCGCAGCCATGAACCCCGCCGAGCTCAGCCGCCCGGCCATCGGCCTCACCACCCCCGTGCTCGCCCACAAGTCCATCACCGTCTCTGTGCCTAACCTGCAAAAGACACCCAAAGTCGGCACCGCCGTCCCCGCCCGCATCGATCTCGAGCCCGTCTACTCGGCCCTCAAGTCGGCCCTAGGCCCCGAGCAATGGCTGATATATAAGGAAACCATCCCCCAATTCCTCGTTGGTATGTCACATCGCATCCATTGCCATGTTGCCATCGCGCCGGCTTCCTCACCGGCCGTGCCTTGCATCGCTTCCGCTGCCTGCTCCACGCCTTTCGCCCTTCTAACCTCTTGAAACAACAGGCCGCCTCACCCAGGCCGAGTTTGCCGAGCGCATCGACCCCATACTCGCGTCGCCCACCGGCGAACGAGAACATCTACACAACCAACTAATCGCCGCCATCTACGGCAATGTCACCCGAGACCTCCCCGATCAGGGCCTTGCCCCTTGGGTCAGCGCCAACGACAAGCCGTCAACAGCAGTCGGCAACAAGCCCTCCACCGGAGATGCCGCCGAGAGGAGGCTCAAGGGTGAAGTCATGCAACTGCCAAACCGAGATAGGCGGCGCATCAAAGATCTTGCGCTGAATGAGGTTTGTCCATACTTATTGCGCTTGGCCCTTGTCAATTGCCGCTCCCAGCCTTGCTAACAAATGCGTATGCGCTTTTCTGCTATCTAGCTCGACCCTTACGAAACCTTAGCAGGGGTATTTTCAGAACACCACAAGGCAAAGGCGCCAAAGGCAGTAGACGTACCACCTAGCGCCGGTGGCCTCAATCGCATGAGTATGTTTACGGCTCTTGCTCTGGTGCCGTCAGACCGCCACCACTGTTACCTTGCTCCACTAACATCGCTTGCTTCCGCCAGACTGGGACCTCGAGATTCGGAAACGCTACGCACAGCCATTAGCAGTCGAGTCGGGCGAGTTCCCCGACACAAGCAATGTCGAGGCTCGAATGCTGCCATTCTGTTACGAATATGGGCTCGTGTCCGGCCACGCATCCGACGCAGCACAGTTTGTCTCTGTCGCGGCCGAGGTGTTCATCAAGGAGATGCTTTCAACCGTGTTCAGTCGTACAAGGAGCAACGGCTCGGGCGAGCTAGGTGGAGGCAGCACCAACCCCACTGAAGGCACGTCGTGGATCCAGACCCATCGGTATCGGAAGCAACTCGCGCGAGAAGAGGGTGCAGCCAGGCGCGGCGAGCTGGCAAGGGACAAGAGCGGGCTACTCCCCGTCGAATCGCGGTCAGCTATCGAGCAGGGAGCACTGGGGATGGCGGACCTCCGGCTTGCGCTCGAGATGAGCGAGTGCGGCATGGCGACCTTCCCCATCATCTCGCAGTCCGTCATGTTCAGCTACCGCGAGGGCGAGCTGGATCAGTGGGAGGACTACACATGGATGGACGACGGCACTCCTAAGCCTCGCGACTCGGACGCGGATGGAGACACGCGCATGGGAGGTGGCACAGTCAACGGCACAGGTCACAAAACACCAGCGGGCGCGCCGCTTCCTAACGGCGTCTCCCACGACGGGGATGCCATGGATCTCGACGACTTTGACGCCATATGGTGGGAGGGTGCTGACTCGGACGATGGCGGCATTCTTGACGGCGTGCTGGATTCATGCTTGGCAGTCGGATGAGTATATTTCCGTCCTATTACTTTGCCCCCTTTTCACCCTCTCTGCTGCCCTCCCTCCTTTTCCCCCTTTGAGATTTCGATATTTCTTTTCTCCTTGTTGTCTTGTGGTCGATTGCAAAGGACAGGTCCACCTGAGCGAGATGAGGCGTTTTCACGATGGCGCCGTCGATGTGTTTGATTTTTGTTGGTAAATATTTTACCCGACTTGCTCAATGCCGGTCGAGAGGCTTTGCTCGGTCGTCCTGGGCTCCCGGGGCTTCCAGTATCTCTCCCAATTGTTCGCGCCGGATCGCTCCTCGCGCAAAAAAAAAAAAACTTCTTTCTTGTTACTATACCCGGCAAGGATTTTGGGGATTCCAGCATTCATCGGCATTGGTTTATGGCGTTTACAAGACAGGGTTGCGTGGCTTGGTTCGTGTTTTTTTTTTGGGGTGTTTTCTATCTTTGGTTTTTCTTCATTTTCCATTACCTTTCAAACCCTCTTTTTGTTTATACACTCTTCGACTTTCTTGGGTTCACTTTGTCCACTGCCCAGATATTGCCAGGATAGTGTTAGTGTTGTAGCAATGCACTGATGTATCAACTTTCTTCCGTACGCGTCACGATTCCTCGCCGTCCGTTGCAGTGGATGTAACAACAGCAAGGCCAGCATGGCCAGCTTGCGGAGTCAATAGAGCGGATCCAACACGGCAATACCCTGGTCTCCGGCAAACCCGAGCGTGCCAGGGCAGGCGGGTCCGCGACGTCAAGAGCCCCAACGCCCTGGATTTTGGGGTGCATATCCTAGAAATGATTTAAACCCGGGCACCGCGGAGGTTGTCGGTTATATGCGGGGGCGCTCTCAAATATTAGCGGACACACACATATCTGGTATTGACACAGCCGCACTACTCGCACACGGAGGAGACGGGGAATCTCCATCCCCGATGGACCCATAGTGAGGGGTTTGGCGCCATCCAAGGTTCGCCCGGCCCAAGAATCCAAGCATGGCCCTGCAGGGAGAATGGAGGGGTGACTGACCGGGTCGACATTTCGGCAGACGTGTGAGGGCGAGGAAAGGGGCGGGCCCGCAAGGGCCAACTATTTCAATGTCGTCTGGCGCATCCCACCGAGCCGAGGTTCAGCAACTCCCCGCGTAAGCGACCTCGGGGGACAAATAGTGGGAAAACACAGGACTGCCAACCACTGTCAGCCAGCCTGCCGAACGTGCACAACAGACAGCAACAACAGAAAGAGTATCAACGCCGAGAGGCACGCACAAACAGACCCGCGAGTAAGCAAGACCCAGGGGCTCCGCCCACCCAACCGGCCAACATGACGATAGCCGAGTACGTCCTGTCGCCTTGGGCGGCGCTCGCCGGCGTCGTGGCCTACTTCGTGTATCCGGTCCTGTTCACGTACGGAGCGTTCCGGGACATACCCGGCCCCCTGCTCGCGAAATTCTCCGACGTGTGGCTGTTCCTGGCGGCGCGGCGCGGGCGGCGGTACGCCATCGTGCACGAGGCGCACAAGAAGTACGGCAAGGTCATGCGGGTGCAGCCGAACCACATCAGCATCAACGACGACGAGGCGATCCAGGCTATCTATGGCCACGGGAATGGCTTCTTGAAGGCGTGAGGCTACCCTTTTGACCCCATTGGGCTTCGGTCGATCGGGAGTGCTAACATATATATCGGTGGGCTTTCTTTTGTAGCAACTTTTACGATGCCTTCGTCTCCATCCGGCGCGGCCTCTTCAACACGCGGTCGCGGGCCGAGCACACGCGCAAGCGCAAGATCGTCTCGCACACCTTTAGCGCCAAGTCGGTGGGCCAGTTCGAGTCCTACATTCACGGCAACCTCGAGCTCTTTGTGCAGCGCTGGGACGAGATGGCGGCCAAGGCGGCGGCAGGGGACTCGCCGGACGGCAGCTGCCACGTCGACAGCCTGCACTGGTTCAACTACATCGCCTTTGACGTCATCGGCGACCTGGCCTTCGGCGCGCCGCTGGGCATGCTCCGCTCGGGCGCCGACGTGGCCGAGCTGCGCGAGTCGCCCGACAGCGAGCCCGTGTATGCGCCCGCCGTCGAGATCCTCAACCGGCGCGGCGAGGTCTCGGCCACGCTGGGCTGCATGCCGCAGATCCTGCCCGTGGCCAAGTACATCCCGGACCCCTTCTTCCAAAAGGGCCTCGAGGCCGTCAAGTCGCTGGCCGGCATCGCCATCGCGCAGGTGCGGCGGCGGCTCGACAACCCCCCTCCGGCGGAGCGCAAGGACCTGCTGGCGCGGCTAATGGAGGGCCGAGACGACAAGGGCGAGCCGCTGGGCCGCGAGGAGCTCACGGCCGAGGCGCTGACGCAGCTCATCGCCGGCTCCGACACGACTTCCAACACGAGCTGCGCGCTGCTGTACCACGTCGTGAGGACGCCGCACGTGCTGCCCAAGCTGCGGGCCGAGATGGACGCCGCCATCCCCGCCGGCGTGGCCGTGCCGACGTTCGAGCAGGTGCGCGACCTGCCGTACCTGCAGGCCGTCGTCAACGAGACCATGCGCCACCACTCGACCTCGGGCATCGGCCTGCCGCGCATGGTGCCGCTCGACTCGCCCGGCGTCGAGATCTGCGGCCGCTTCTTCCCGCCGGGCACCGTGCTCAGCGTGCCCACCTACAGCGTCCACCACTCGGCCGAGATCTGGGGCCCCGACGCCGACGACTTCAGGCCCGAGAGGTGGGCCGAGGGGGCCATCACGGAGCGGCAGAAGAACGCCTTCATCCCGTTCAGCTACGGCCCGCGCGCGTGCATCGGCCGCAACATTGCCGAGATGGAGCTCAAGCTCATCGTGGCCGCGTGGGCGCGCCGGTACGACATCGAGCTTAAGCAGGGGCCGATGGAGACCCGTGAAGGGTTTCTGAGAAAGCCCCTCGCGCTAAAGGTTGCGTTCAAGAGGCGGGCGTAGACTGGGCTGGGGGACTTTTCGAACTTGGGCCGGCGACATTGGAAAGGACGGCGGTATGAGGATGGTAGTTGTTTGTGACAAAGAGGAGCCTAGATATAGAATGAAAAAGTACTTGAATCTCTAGGCGAGAGCAAATATCTGTCTGGTCGTTTTGTCGTGTGATGCTACCAAAGGCTGGCAGATTTCACAAGTGCAGCGTAGCGTGCAGGTGTATGGGCTTAATTGGCCCTGGCATGTTGGCCGCGGGTGACATGGGTCTTGTGGGCGACGTCAGTGGAGTGGTCGCGGGATCGCGTCGCACTTGCAGGGATTTTGATTTGCGGCGACGCGATCCGCGTTAGGAACGCGTTCGCCAAAAGAGCTCGTGCGCCCCTCCACTTCAAAAGCTCCGACCTTCTTTCCATTCATTCTCCCAGCCAACGCCCAGACCCCCGTCCATGGAACATGAGCAACATCTCAAGCCAGCATTTCCAGCATCTCTCACGAAATAATACCCATCTAACAACACTACACACGGATATTCCTTTCTAATCACTTTAATACCACAACGCAATGGCTTCGTCGCGGTCGCCCTCACCGGCCGTCTCGGCGAGACGATCCAACTCCAACTCCCCACAACTCACCCCCAGGTCGAAGCTGCGGAAGATGCTCGCAGCCATTGACAGCTCAGACGAAGAGTCCAGCGGAACCACCAGACTTTTTAGGCCAGCCGCAAGGCCAGCAAGACCCATCAGCAAAAGTCCAACACCTCAGGCCGACAGCAGCGATAGCGATGACGAAGACATCCTCCGCCCCCGAGGGCGCCTGGCAGCTCGTATGCAGGCCGCCTCAGCCTCAGCCTCTCTCGAGGACACTCATACGTCCCCCAAAGCCCCCACCATATCGACGCCCGAAGTCGACGCACCTCCTACGGAACAGGCCGACGAAGACGAGGATGAGGATGAGGTCATGACTCGGCACCCCAGGCGGCAGAAGCCCGCCAAGGCCCAAACGCCGACCAGGCAACGGAGCCCCGCAAGCCCGGCCGCTTCGTCGCCGGATATGTTCGTGACGCCCTCAAAAGACAGGGCAGCATCACTCGCAGCTGGGTCCCCATTGGGCTCTGGTGACGAGGGCGAGCTGCCCGAGGACCCTACCAAGAGCAAGCGCTTCCGGGCTCGCCTGCTCGAGCTGCGAGAGAAGCGCGTCCGCGAGGCCGAGGAGAAGGCCAGGAGAGAGGCAGAAGAGAGGGGCAACGAGCCCACCCCCGTCGACAGCTTCATCAACGACGAAGAAGATGGTGGCCTCACTGACGACGAGGGCGGTCATAAGCTTACTCAGGATGCCCAGGGTCGCCCCTCCGCACGCAAGGCGAGCAAAAAGGCTCTTGAGGAAATGCACCGTGAAACGCAGCGCCTCAACAGAAATCTCCAGCTGGCACACGAGGCCAAGACCAAAACAAAGGTCACCAAGGCGTCGCTCTTTGAACGTTTCAACTTCAAACCCGCTGGCGCCGCGGCAGCCCCCGAACTTCCCGCCGCCGCTCCGGCCAACTCGAGCCGCCCCTCATCTCCAGTCTCGGTTCAACATACGGATGCCGAGAGGAAGGAGGACGACACGCCACCGAGCTCTCCTCCCACGGCCCAGAAGGACGGTGTCGAGGCCAAGGAGGATGCGCCTGCCCAAGTGACCGAGAATATGCAGGCTGAGATCAGTGGGGTGACCGAGGTTCGCTTCTCGAAGCTGGACAAAGGCAAAGACAAGGCTACGGCTGCCGATCTGGAAAACGAGGAACCTGTCCTCAAGCGTCGCCAGTTCCGAGTGACCCTACCTGCAGTTCAAGCCAGCCTGGTCACCATCGACGACGATGAAGAGCAACTGGTCGTCGCGCAGAAGACCAAGCTCGATGCCCTCTTCGACCGCGTACCCGCCCGCCGCCAGGAGACCGACCAGTCCCTCCATGCGCTGCGCATCCTAGCCCAGATTGGAGGCGGCTCCGATAGCAAAGACGGCGTTGCGGCGGGCCGCCGTGGCATGAAGCAGTTGACCGATAACGCCATGACGGCAGGGGAACTCCAGGCCAGTCTGCACAGGCGCGCCCGTGAGCAAGCGCGTCTTGAGCGGGAACGACGCCTGGAGGCGCTACGTGCCAAGGGCGTGCATGTGCAAACTGAGGAGGAGCGCGAACAGGAGCTCAAGGACATCGAAGACATTGTGGCGCGTGCCAGGCGCGAGGCCGACGAGATCATGCTTCGCGAGAAAGAGGAGACTAAGAAGGAAAGAAAAGAGTCCGGTGTCGTCGACCCTCTCGCTTGGGACGATAGTGACGACGGCGAGGACGGCGACTACCAGGACGCAGAGGAGCAGGAGGTGGCCGAAGTTGAGCTATCTGGTTCCGAAGATGAGGATGCCTTGATGGCCGATGGTGAGGATGAGGAGGAGGGGGAAGAGGACGGCGCCATGGAAGGCTTGGTCGACGAGCAGGCGGACTCCGCAGACGAATCTGCCGACCACGAGTCCGAGGATGACGATGCCGATGAGGATGGGGGCGTGCCACTAACCAAGCCGAAATCGCGTCGCGGCAAGAAGCAAGTTACTGTCATCTCGGACGACGAAGATGACAGCGACAACGAAGCCCCAACGCCGAAGCCCCGCGCTGTAGAAGCCACACCACAACCCAAAGCCGCCATGTTCAGGTCTCCATCTACCAGGGAACGGCGGTCGCCACAAGAGCCCACATCCGTTCTGCGTTCGGCCACCAAGACTTTCATCCCAGGCTTTCCGGTGAAGATGGGGGAATCGGCCGGTCTTGGCCTAACCCAGATCTTTGCTGGCACTATGGACGACAGCCAGCCCAACCTTGCTACAGGATCTCCCTCGCAGCCGATGCCAACATTTGAGGACTTCCATGGTCCGAACCTGTCTCAGTCGCAGCAGGACGAGCTTATCCTGAACAGTCAGCCTACACAGATGACGCAACTCTGTGATAACGAGACGCAGGCTGTGCAGCTGAACCTTGCCCAGTCACAGGCTCACGGTCTAGACAGCCTCATGCGGGACGATGTTTCCGCCACTGCCACGCAACAATCCGACTGGCTCGAGCCCACCCAGGACGAGGGTTTCCAGCACCGTTCGCCCCTGAAGAGGCGTTTCATCGAGGATGATAGGGAGACTCCTGCCCCTTCAGCCATCATGGACTCTACCCTCCCCGAAACCGTGATCCAGAGCTCCCCCCTGGTTCGCAAGGGTAAGTTTCGCCGCAAGATTGCAGTTCCTGACGACACCGACCACGACCACATGGGTGACGCTGAGGAGCCTGTGGCTGCCGCGGCAGACGCGTTTGACGTTCTGAACAAGGCAGCCGTCAAGGAGAAACAGCGCAAGCAGCAAGAGGAGTTTGACAGGAAGAAGAGCAAGGCCAAGGAGATGTTCGAGGAGCAGGCCGAAGAGTCTGAAGACGAGTACGCCGGCCTGGGCGGTGCCGACGGCGAGGACAGCGACGACGACGGACAGGACGTCGAGGGCATGATTGATGACAAGACTGGCGTCACCGAGTCGGACAAGGCCAAGATCGCTGCTCTCTATGCCGACCGCGAGCGGGCCAGCGACGAGAAGCAGGTCGAGAAGCTCTTCCGCGACATTACGACGGGCATGCTCCGACGCAAGCGTGGCAACGACTACGACCTCTCGGACGACGACGATGGCGGCGAGGCCCGCAGGCGCATGAAGCGTAGGCAGTTTGCCAAGATGCAGAAGGCTCTCTTCGCCGACGAGCGTGTGTCTAAAGTGGCCGAGAACCCGCGCACATCGGCATTCATGCGCACAATCGAGGATCGCGGCAGCGATGACGAGGATATGGACGACCTCCTTGTTATACAGCCGGCGAAACCAGAGTCGTCAGAGGAGGACAGCCAGGAGACTGCAGAGGATTCTATCCCCGACAGCCAGCCGAAGCAGCAGCAAGCTATGGCACCCCCTCCTCGCCTCCCGGGGCCCCAGCGCCGCACTGTGGACAGCAAGAAGCCTTCCAACCTAGGCGAGATCCGCGAGTCGCTATCCAATCTGCTCGAGGACCAGAGATCGATGAGCATGATCTCAGCCACTGATGTCGGCTCCGATAGTGAAGGAGAGGACAGGGTACCAGAGAGCAGCAACAAGGAGAACCAGAACCCGCGACGCCGCGCGACCGTGGCCGTGGTGGATCGCATCAGCCTCAAACGCTCGGGGTCTTCCACCAGCGACGCCTCGGCCCCTGGCGGTCTTAGGCGGACGGGCTCGGGCTCGAGGGCCGCCTTCGTCATGACCGGCGGCGGCTCGGGCTCGTTCAAGGTACCGGCGCTGCTTCGGCGCGCCACGAGCAACTCGGTCGCCTCGATATCCTCGTCGACCGCGTCTTCCACTGGCGTCACTAGCGGCCCTGCCGCCGCGGCTGCTGGAGGCGGCGGCGGTGCCGGATTCGGGGAGGACGCCAAGATCAAGAAGAATGCGAGCAAGCGGTCTGGCATCAACTACTTTGCGCGCGAGACGGAACGGCTCGCGGTGCTGGCGGAGAAGGAGAAGCGGCGCGAGGCGAGGAAGTGGAAGGGTGCCGAGGGAAGGAGCAAGGTGGTCGGCGGCCTGTTTTCGGCCGGCAAGTTTGAGTGATTGCTGGTATTGTTTCTGCGGCGTAGGGATAACAGGGCGTCTTTTGCTTGGACTTTAGTGCCTGGCTGCCTGGCTGGTGTTTATTTGGCGATTTTACTATAACGCATGTACATGCGCACCTCTACTATCATGTCAGGATATGGCTGGGTTGGTGGTGTCTCTAGTCAACGACAGCCAGGCTCTAGGTCATGATAGCATCTTGAGTTACCCTCTCAATATTCGTTCGCTAACCTTGTGGGTACATGGTATCGGGCTTCCAGTCAGGTATTCTCACTTCAAATCCCTACCTTTCAGCACTTGACCTCCTTGAAGATAGCCTACACAGAGAAGCGGGTGTCCCATCCCCGAACCCTTCTCTCCTTGCGGTAGCGCTTGCCCTGGCCTTTAAAACCAAGGCAAAGCCCACCGCATTGCGTAGGATCATGGCGCGGGGCAGTCGGATTGGATGCATCCCACGTCGCAAGACAGCCTGCATTCATGCATACTAATCGGGCGCAACCACCTCCACATCCCCCATCGTTCCGCCTTGCGCTCAAAGAAAGGAGTAACGCAATCTTTCCCACCGTTTCGGAAACTGCACCCATACGGACAAGTCAATCTCGTACCCATAGAAGCAACTCTCAGCAGCAAAAATGTCAGGCCTGGAGCCGGTCGCGGCTCTGGGCCTCGCCTGCAACATCTTGCAGGTCGTCGAAGTCGGGCTCAACACGATCCGGGTCGCCAAGCAAGTGTACAGAGACGGTTCTCTCGACCCCGCGTTGACGGAAAACGCGAGTGCCCTCGAGAGCATCTCGGGTCGAATCCACGGGACGACGACGTCGAGGACAACTATCCCCGTCACCACCGCCTCCTCCTCCACAGCACCTCCATCGACACTAGGGAGCGCGAGCAGTGCCAGATTGCTAGACAAGCAGCTATCGGGGCTAGCTGAGAAGTGCCAGGGGGCTGCGCGCGAGTTGCGCGAAGAGGTCAACTTTCTCAACGGACATCCCACAAGGGCAAAGCTCATTGCGACTCTGAAAATTACAGCCAAGACGGCATGGCGGAAACGGCGATTGGAAAGGCTAGAGGGGAAGCTGAAGGATGCCCAAGGCGTTTTGCAGACGAGCCTCCTGGCCCGGGTATAGTAAGCCACACTCCCAGTCTCAATACCATTCGCTTGAAATTAGGAAACATAAATGCTGACCGATAATAGCGAAAGACTGGAGCAGTCGAGCTGCGAGCTCTCGTCCCTTGAAGCGAACTTGATGTCGTTTATCGACGAATATCGCGCCGGGAAGACGGAGGTTTTGCAGCTTGTTTCCGCCGAGGCTGCCCATACGAAAACCCACATCACCACGGCGACGATGGAAAGCGGAAAGGCAGTGAGCGATCACATCACCGAAAGGCTTGGTCAGCTCGAAACTCGGTTGAGAAGCGACGTTGGCCTTGTGGTTCGGAGCGGGGCGCAACGGGATGACCAAGCCGGGCTCGTGGCCAAAAGGGAACGGCTTTTGCGAAGCCTCAAGTTCGAGCATATGAATGAGCGCCGAAACGCAGTTGCACCTTCACACTCTGGTACCTTCTCCTGGGCTCTGCGAGACGGTAGCGATGGCGACAATTCCAGTGCCATGGCGGGGACAGGGGATAAAGATGACAACACGGGAGACACGCCGCATCCAGACATAACCTGGGACCGATTTTCCGACTGGCTCCGATCCACCGCGCCGACATACTGGATCAGCGGAAAGCCTGGCTCAGGAAAGACAACGCTGATGAAGTACCTTTTCAGCCACAGTCTCACAAGAACATTTCTGGACCTCTGGAAGCCCGGCGTGGTGCTTGTGTCTCACTTCTTCTGGCGCCCCGGCAAAGAAATGCAGCAGAGCATCAAAGGAATGATATGCTCTCTGCTCCACCAGCTTCTTTCAGAGGAGACGGAATTCACGAACCAGCTTCTCCGAGGAGCCGAGTTCGCTGCCGTATTGAGCAAAGACCATGAAACAGACTGGTCGCCTGAAGAACTGCTTGCGACTTTCCACGCGGTGCTGAGCGACTATCCAAAGCCGGTTACCATTTTTCTTGATGGTCTCGATGAGGTGCTTCCTCACGACGGTACATTGCGGCTTCTTGACGTTATCGACCAGCTCAGACAGTTGGATCCACATACCCAAAAGTTCAAAATGTGCCTGGGTTCACGCCGCGAGCCTCTCCTGCTAAGGAGGCTGTGCTCCATTCCCCAACTCCGGCTCGAACAAATCAACTTTTCCGATTTGCACAAGTACGGCATGGACAACATCACTGTCCCGCCTGACTACTACAGCATGATCCTCTGCCACGACTGGGAAAACGACGGCGTCTCATACTTCTTCCGGAACAGGAAACCACCGAGCTGCAATGATTTTCGGGACTGGCTTGTCGATGAGCTCCTCTATAAAGCTGAAGGCGTTTTCCTCTGGCTTTGTCTCACCGTCAAAGCAATCACCAAAGCCATTCACCAGGGCGAGACGGTCGGGGATCTAACCCACCGGATCAGGAAGCTGCCTACAGATCTCGAGGAGCTGTACGCGGATATGTGGGCAAGAATGGACACCGAAAGTGTTCCTATCAGAAGCCGCGCCGGCTCCTACTTCCAGCTTGCCCTTGCCAGTAATCCGGTTAAGGGCATCTTTGCGCTCATGTTTGCAACAGCGCCCACGATCTCAGCTCAACTCTTGGGGTTCGAAACAACGGGGATTCCTCCAGCAGCCTCTTTGATAAGCGCTTGCGAAGCGACAAAGCGCGACATCGAGATTGCCTGTGCAGGACTTTTGGTATGCGAGTTGCCTCTTGACACATCAAAGATGGTCTGGCGCTCCAACTCCGAGCTTGTGCCCTGGTACGGAGAGGAGTACGATGCGTTGATACCGTATATGCAATCGAAAACCTTCTTCCTGCACCGAACCGCTGGGGACTTCCTCGTGGACACGGAGGCAGGGCAGCGCATCCTTGCCTGCGGGAAATTCCCCGGCGCGCTTCCATACTGGAAGCGGATCGAATGTCTCCTGGTTAAAAGGCTTATTATGCGACATAGAGGCTTCAGTGCTCGTGGACGCCAAAGCTCCGATCGGGTTCAGCAGTTTTTGCAATTGATATATAGCCAACACGAAGGCTGGCATGAAAACACCAACACCACAATATGCGCTACGCGGCCACGACTAGTACGTTTTTGCGAGAAGCTCTTCAACTCTAGCCATATCGGGAGCAATGCTATCGCCCCGGAGCGGTGTTTCTACCTCGAGCAGCAAAATAGCAGGTCCTGGCCCATATATTCTCAAGCAATTGTCAGGCGTCAACACGAATTTCTCCTCCAAATGGCCCAGGCAGCTATGCTAAATGACGAGATTTGGTGCGAAATTTTGAGAGCCATTACGACCCGGAATCTCGACGATGACACAGTATCGGAACTTCTTGTCTACGGGTGCTCATTATATTCCTATGAGTACTTCTTCCGACTATCAGCGATTAAACGTATTTTGGCTTTGGGAACATCTTTGGCTTGGAATGGGCCATGTCAACTACATTGGCTCAACGGCAAGGTTGAGGGAAACACCACAGCTTTTAAAGAGCTTATACGATCAATTTGGGCCTACTCACTCATCCACGACACCGAGGAAGTCCCGGAAGAGCTTTTGCGGCTCATATCACTTTTCCTTTCACGTGGATGCAGCCTCAGGGAGGAGGTATACATTCAGGTTCAGTTGGAGAATAAAGCTGGCCTCATGATCAGGGGACTATTTGGACTCCTCATAACCTCGCCTTTTCCATGGAAATTCAACGCGACGACACTGATAATCGCCTACCCAGCAGCGACACTGCTCGCTGGAGCTTTCCGGTTTTGGAGGCTGGAAGTTCCTGCAGAGCACGACTGGCTGATCCAAATGGAGGAGAACAAAAGAGGGGGACTTGAAAATGGACAACTGATCGCAATTGCGTACCTTGGCACCTGTGGCCCATCATCTGAGTCGATCTTGGACACACCCAACATATATCCGGTGCCGCCCGGAGGTAAGCTGGATAAAGATCTGGCGAGTTTGGTAAAGATGGTTGAACGGAAACTGAGAGAATTCAGGCTGGAGGGGAATATTGAAGAGGAGTTCCCTCTTGAAATTGCGCAAGGAGTGTTTCGCGCCGTGAAGCAGCTTCGATCTGAAGATGCGCTGGCGGTGAGCAGAATCATGAGGTTTCGGGAAAGGGTTGGCATCTGGACGCCGTTCGAGGAGTGGCTGGAGCACAAGGAGTTGCCGCTATGGGACGAGGAGTGAGGTGAATACGGTGTCAGTTTCCGGCCGAGGAAGGATATGGAGGAGCTTTTCAAGAATGGATAGAGGGCGGGGGTGGGGGGAACGACCATGGGATTGCACAGCATGGCTTCGCACACGCCTAGATCAACCGCATACTCACACCCCAAGACCCATCAAGGCTGCATGCCGCGCTACCTCCCCGAGGAGACTCATAACTTGCAGAAATGATCCCCAGACCTCAGCGGTTGGCGCAGCCAGGCAGTCACCATCTATAGATATCCGTTTCTTACATTACCATGAGCATGGCGAATACCATGCTTGCCACCGGCGCTCCTTTGGAATGCATTGATATCAATGAGGAGGTGGATCCCAGCCCTTGCTGCTCACAACTGATATTTATAGCTTCTATCAGAGGGAGAAGGGGAGATCTCATATGATTGGTTTTCTCTATCAAGAATATCCAGGCACACTGCATTCGTCTTTGTGACTAGACGATATGCTCCTCTGCTCCTTTGCAAATACCAACGATCACACGCTTGGGCAGAGCAGACAGCCATGCCACTTGAAGATGAGGTTTGGCGAGTCATCATGCAGGATCTCGACCTCCCTATAATATGGGTTGATAGCGACGTCTTTCAGGATATCTTCCAGGCCGCTATCATACATGCTGGCACGTGGCTCGCCAGCTTATTGTTTAAAAAGGCGAAGACGTCAACGGTTGCCAGCTATTGGTAGCTGGAAAAAAAATATCGTCTCCTTGACTGATGGGTGGCCAATCTCTACTCCGCATGCGGCTCTCGTTGAGGCTGGTCAATATGGCCAACTCGACGTAATGTGCAGTCTACCGGGGCCATGCGCCCAATATGGCTACCAAATATAACCGCAGCAAGGCTTTTGAGTTCATGCAATGCCAACACTGCCGGATGCAGAGTTCGCTAGCATTCGCTGGAAATAGATGATGATATGCTTAACTTGCCGAGACAAGGACCGACAAGGGGTGCCCGATACAGACTGTGGCTCGGTAGCGGCGCGCCCATCACGAACAATGACTACGTAGACAGGTACAGACGACTCGCACTGGCTCTCGAGAAGCCCAGCGCAATAGCGGTGCGGCTCTTGGCGAGGGAGTCCAGTCGCCCTCACAAGAGACCGTCTCTGTCGGCTGGAAAGGCCACATCATCATACGCCGACAATGGCGAGACAGTCCCCGTCACAGGCACTGTCGCGTCATCCTTCAAACACGCCTGGGCCCTGCCGACGGCGCCTGTTGCTACAGGCTCCCGAGGCAGAGTGGGTTTCATTTCTTCAAAAGCAGCAGCACCCAAAGAACTCCAAGGCAACCCGGTGACGGCGATTAAGCTTTCCCCACCATCCGAGGAAGCCGACGAGGCCGGTTCCGCAGCTCGTTCCATGCGTCTGGGGCGCCGCGGGGCCAATTGCAGATCCAACTGCCGTTTTGATGTTTGATTTCCCAAATAAGCTTGTCATGCCGGAAGCCGCGGAGGGGACGTGCCACAAATAACCCCCGTCGTCTATGCGGTGGGTCCACCCCCGGCTGCAGAGCCTCAGTCTCAGGCCCTCGCGGATCATTGTGGGATTGCCGGGTTGGAAACAGTATTGAGGCGGGTGGGGCAGGAGTCATTTTTAGAGTTCGTGAGGGTGTCATGTCCTGGCCGGCACGGACGACGCCCAAACCAGCAGGCGCCCCTTGCCCAAACTCTTGGCATGGGTTGACAGCTCAGGGGGAGGCTTCTTGGCGGGGTGCGGTCAGCCTCACTTGGACGTCGGTGGACGTGAACCATTGGAGGGTGACAGCAGGCCAGGGATGGCGTCGATGGCGTCGATGGCGTCGATGGCGTCCCAGGCCGCTCGGTCTCTTAGATATAAAAGACTGCCAACCCAGCCATCCTATCCTCCATATTCCCTTCTCTCTCATCATCCAACGATCGCATTCGCATCTTTTCCTTTTGTCTCTTGCATTTCTTGCATCTCATTTTTGTTATTTCCTTGAGCCTATTTTTTGGTTTGTCATTTTTCCAACCTTTCATCTTTTCGAACAACCCAACCGCCACCATGCACTTCACCAAGACCCTCGTCACCTCCATGGCCGTCGCCGTGCCCATGGTCGCCGGCGCGCCCGTCCCCGGCGAGCCTGCCAGCGCCATCGAGGCCCGCTTCGTCGGCGACAACAACAACGTCCCCTCCCTGTACGCCCGGGACACGAACGTCGAGGCCAACGTCGAGGCCCGCGGCCTGGTCGGTGATCTGAAGAGCACCGGCAAAGATCTGGGCAGGATCGCCCTCAAGGGCGGCAAAAAGCTGGCTGCCAAGATCCCCCGTGATCTCGATGAGGAGGCCGACGAGTCCGCCGACCTCGAGGCCCGTGGTCTGCTCAATGATTTGAAGAGCACCGGCAAGGATCTGGGCAGGATCGCCCTCAAAGGCGGTAGGAAGCTGGCTGCCAAGATCCCCCGTGATCTCGACGAGGAGGCCGACGAGTCCGCCGACCTCGAGGTCCGTGGTCTGGTCGGTGATTTGAAGAGCACCGGCAAAGATCTGGGCAGGATCGCCCTCAAAGGCGGTAGGAAGCTGGCTGCCAAGATCCCCCGCGACCTGGACGAGGCTGCCGAGGAGTACGCTGAGGAGGAGGCCCAGCTCGAGTAAACGCGTCAGCTTGACAAGTTTTTCACAGAACATCGATTTCTCGGTCCTGCTTTGGACCTTTGTCTTGGTGTTGGTGGCACATGGTTGATTTTTGTTCTTTCTGATGCCTGCTCGTTGCATAGCTATGGTCTAGACCGGAGTATCGTTTATTCTGGTATGTGATCCCTCATTAGGAGGTTCATGTAAATGTCAATCACCAATGCTTTGTTTCGAACTGTTCTCCCTCCCATCTGCGACGCCCACTCTCCGGGTGTATTCCCATGAACCCACCAGGAAGAGGGTTTTGTGAAAAAAAAAAACTGGCTTGAAGGAGCATCTTTTTAGCGATGGGAAAACATGCAGTGTATAGTGAGTATTTTCTGCTGCTATGTAGAGCATATTGCGACTACGAGTAACACGGAGGGCTAGGTTGAGCAAGGGACGGGACACTGCAAATGCGTTTGGGAGGCAATCATATCATGCATGAACTGGAGCAACCCCGAGGTTTGGAGTTCGCAGGGGACAAGACTCTGTTGAATATTTGAAGCAGTTCTGGTTTTTGTAAAATCTGCTATGTACGGTAATAATGCAGGAGGAGGTACAAGTGGAATGCGGCCGAATCCAAAGGGGTTGAGCTTGACCCTCAATGACGCAGTTCGGGAAAATAAATGGGTGGCAGTAGAAACACACGTGATCTTCACAGTCATGCATAATGCCGCCCAAGCGTCCACCCTGTCGCGCGTCACGGAATTTCAGCGGGTCGGCTCGTCATTCAAGCTCCTCCCAGCACCACAGCGAGGAGTAAGAGCTGGATGGGGAGCCGAGCCGGGAAGCCATAGAAACAGGCGGATTGGTAATCCTCTTTGTGTTTCATTTAACTTCATCCCAACACCCGTCTCTGTCCTGGAGCATCTCTACAGTACCCGAATCGACGGCAGCGCCATGGGTTTCCTCGCCGCGGTGTCTGCCATCTTTGGCTGGATCTACTTTCTCTGCTGGTCGCTTTCCTTCTACCCGCAGGCGTTGCTCAACTACCGCCGCAAGTCGACCTCGGGCACCACAATAGACTTTCCCATGATAAACACGTTGGGTATGCCCGATGGATGACGCCTCGTCCAAGAGTGCTGCCGCTTGATTGGGGGTGATGGCTGACCACGTCCTGACATGCATGCTGAAACCCAAAACCCAAAACCCAAACAAAAACAGGCTTCGCAGCCTATTTCGCCTTCAACGCCGCCATGTTCTACTCGCCCGTCATCCGAAGCCAGTACGCGGCCCGCAACCACGGCCTGACCCCGACGGTGCAGTTCAACGACGTCACCTTTGCCGCCCACGCCCTCGTCCTCTCGAGCATCACCGCGAGCCAGTACGTGCCCGGCCTCTGGCGCGGTTTCGAGCGCGCCCTGGGCGGCGCGCGGCCGAGTCGCTTCATGCTGGGCATAGCCCTGGGCAGCGTCGCGGGCGTGCTGGCCGTCGTCTTCGTCGTCGCAGCCCGCGAGGGCGACCCTTCTCTGCCGCCCGTCGACCCCCGCCGCGACTGGTGCTGGCTCGACGTCTTCTACGCCGTCAGCTACGTCAAGCTCGTCATCACGCTCGTCAAGTACACGCCGCAGATCGTGGCCAACTGGAGGAACCGCAGCACCCAGGGCTGGAGCATCTGGCAGATCCTGCTCGACTTCTCGGGCGGCGTGCTCAGCATCACCCAGCAGGGACTCGACAGCTATATGCAGGGCGACTGGTCCGGCATCACTGGTAACCCGGTCAAGTTCGCGCTCGGCAACGTCTCGATGCTGTACGACCTCGTCTTCTTCACGCAGCACTACGTCCTCTACCCGCCTGGCAAGGAGAACGGCCTCGGCGAGAGGGACGGGTTGCTAGAGCGCGGCGAGGCCGATAGACGGTTGGACTAGTTGGGGCGGGGCCCTGACGATAGGCAATTGATGGCCGAATGAATATAGGCGAGAGCTCGGGTTTGAGGCATGGCACTCCATACTTGACCGCGGTCCAAAAAGAATAAATACAAGAATAAGGCACAACAAGTGCGATTTTGAGCTGTGATACCATCCATGATGTGTATATAACAAATGCATACTCATAGCGGCACATGCTATCATAACCAAGCCAGGCCAGCGCGAGCCCCGCATCTTCCCCAGCTGGTAACAATAGATGTGGCAATGATGCGTGGGTCAATTCTATCACTCCTGCAAAAATGCGGGCATATTGGCGATCTATCCAGCAGTTTCCCGCACAAGCCACTCAAAGCCTCTTGGCCTTGGCCTCCGGGGGAAAGCCCAGGCGCAGCAGGAACGACGCCCTCGTGAGGGCCAGCCCCGCGAGCGACAAGACGTTGACCCAGTCCTCGAACCTCCAGGCGGCCGGGCTCAGGAAGACGCCGAGCCCGAGCGCCCTGGCGGTGGCCCCGACGTGGAGCAGGTCGCACATCAGGATCCCCAGCTCTAGGGCGTCCCAGACCCGGAGGTCGTCGCCGGCGACGCGCAGCACGACGGCGCCGTTGAAGGCCAGCATGGCGTAGGTGCCGGCGAGCTGGTCGAGCAGGACCTGGAGGCCGCCGTGGTAGGCGACGTGCGGCGTCATGGTGTGCAGGTACCTCGGCGGGTCGCCAACCGCTAGCAGGACGCCCGCGGCCGCCAGGGCCGGGTCGACCCAGCGCAGCATGACTCGATAAAAGACGGGGACTTGGCGCGCGGACCTCATCGCGGGACGGGTTGGCGGGGTAGGGAGAGTGCTTTTCATTATGCACGCGTATTGTTTTTGTTTGTCAAAAGATGTCGACGGTGCCCGTATTCACCAGTGCGGCGGCTTGGCAGGCGGTGCGGCGGCGCTGTGTTTCCCGAATCGTCCAAGGGGGCGGCTTGAGGCGAATTGTGGGTGCGTGGTGCATGGTTGGTGTGTGCCGATCTCGGTGAGGGTGGATGGTTCTGATTAACAGGAGCCAGTCCCCCCTGGAGTCCATAGACTTCGGGCCTGGGCACCATCCGATGAACCCCCCCTTGTCACTCGGGTAGGTACCTATACACTGTCGTAATCCGCCTGCCGGGACCTGAGTGGGGGCAACAAACGTGCGCCCGCCAGGACCCACCATGGTTCGGCAGGCCTCCCCTGCTTGCCCCATGATGTCCCGAGGGCCCCGAACGCTATCTCCCGTGCTCCCATGGGCGTCCGGACAAGCCGTCCGGTCGAGCCTAACCACGCCGGCCTTTGATCGCTGCTGCACTAGATGGCTTGGCGATCTACGTACTTGACTGCGATTCCCCCACTCCCGAATACCACGTCCCTATCTTAAGAGACATGCTTATCCCACGGACGGGGATTAGGTGCAGCCAAAGATAAAAGTGAGGTTTTGCCAGCGACCAGCTTGCGAACCCGCCGCTGACGGCCATGTATTCGCGTCCTCCCAGGGGCACCTGCAAACCCCCGAGCAATACCCTGGGTAAGGGAGGGCAAAACAAAGCGCCGGGCACACCCGCTTGGGCCTTCCTGAGTCGTCTGCCGTCTATATAGGGGAATGCCTTGGTGGGCTAGCTGTCTGGGCCGGTATATGTGGTGCCATCCCAAGCTTGGCTCCGCATTATATTGGTGCTTTGATAACCGTGCAATCTCTCCCGCGCCTTGTACCCGCTCTATCCTGCAGTAACCCCCACGAGGCACCGGCATGAGATTATTATTCCCAACCGACTGCCCAGCGTCGTGCCCCCCCCTTGCACACGATTTAGGAACGACCCAAGTAGAGGAAAAAGGCCGCGACTAGAGCCTCCCCGGTTCCCGTTGACTCGGGATAACCTTGCTTGTTCTGTTATGGCCGATGATAACGGGTAGCGATACGGGGCCTCGTGAATCGGCATACCGGGGTCGTCCCTTGTACCCAAGTCACCCCCCGGGCGGCTCACCGAACCCAGAGCCTCCTCGCCAGACAAGCTCCCGTACGCTCGGCCGAAGCAGGCACACCACACCCACACCACACCCACCGCACTATCGTGCTAGCCGCCGTGGCTGGATGCCAAGATAGCGAGGCCAGTCACACGGGATCTCTGTGCCGCCTCTGCAGCTCCTTCCAGACCTCATCTGCCTATCAGTCGTGAGCTGTCGCCGGCCGATAGCCACCTTGCCCAGACTGACGCGCCCGTTGTGCCTGTTTGGGCAATGTATCTGCAACAACCCCGCCGGCCTAGTGGAATTCTGTGTCTTTCGTTCATTTCTCTCCGCCGCCGCCCGGATGTCGACGCAGGGCACTGGGGGCCTGACCGGGTCAGGCTCGGGACTGTTCGTGAGGGGTTCGACTTCGCCCTTGCTCGGCGCCGTGCCTTGGAAGGCAGGGAGGCAATATTCCTCTGAACAAAGATTTCCCCCATCTCCTTGGGGACGCGGATATAAAAACGATGATGGCGCCCAGCTTTCAAGTTGTCTAGTTTGATCGGCAGCCCTCAGCCTCCTCTCCAGGTCTCCTACCACAGCTCAGGAAACCATTCATCTCCACGGGTCCAAGTCTTTACTGAATATTGGAAAACACCATGAGGTCGGCACCCTTCGCACTCGTCGTCTTTGGCCTCCTTGGCCTGGGCGATGCGGCCCCCAACGTGCGCTTCTCGCCGCGCGGGCAGGCCAGGCCGTCCCTGAGGACCAGGGACACATGCCCGGCCCCCGTCGACATCCCCGTGAAGGCGCCCAAGGCGAACCCCTTTGGGGCGCTCACAGCCGCCGAGATGACTGCGGTCGTCGGTTTCCTGTCGGATAACAAGGCGCTCAACCTGACCAATTCCACCAACCCAACTCTGGCCATCAATGACAACTACATCTTTGTAAGTGGCCAGATATCTTTGGGGATCTGACATACCCCCTTTTTCCACCCGAAGCTGACCCTAAAACGCCACAAATAGCATATTGAGGCCCTGAAGCCCAATAAGACAGATGTTCTGTCTTACCTGGATAACAATGGCCCGGCGGTCCCTCGCTATGCGCGCGTTGTGCTCAACGAGGGTGCCAAGAACCCGCCCGTCATCGCCGAGTACTCGGTCGGGCCTCTGCCCCTGAGCGACAAGACCAAGGTCGAGTCGCTGGACCATATCTACAACGGTCCCAACGGCGGCAAGATCCACTGGAACGGCGGCTGGCTCATGAACGGGCCGCGCGCCACCGCCGTCGACGTCATCGTCAACCAGACCACCTCGGCCATCGCCGACATCATGCAGGACCTCGTCGACTTCCAGTACTTTGGCAGCAGCGACAAGCGCTCGACCGGCACCTACTTCTTCACCAACCCCTACTCGACCGACGGCTCCACGGCCAACGCCTGGGCCGCGTGGCGCCGCGCCGGCCTGGCCTCGTACGGCCAGCCGTCGGACCTGTACATCAGCTGGGACCTCGCGGGCACCGACCCGTCGCTGTGGAAGCTCCGCATGATCGTGTACGACCTCAAGGTCTACAAGAGCGTCGAGGAGCTGCGCGAGGCCTGGGTCGCCAAGCGCATCAACAAGAACCCGCCGCCGTCCCGCAACATCGACTACCTGCGCAAGGACCGCAAGGGCGGGCCCGTCCGCGAGCTCGAGGACCGGTTCGCGCCCACGATGCTGCAGCTCGACGGCAAGCGCTATAAAGTCGACAAGGAGGACAAGTACGTCGAGTACCTGGGCTGGACATTCTACATGCGCTACGACCGCGACGTCGGCATACAGTTCTACGACATCAAGTTCAAGGGCGAGCGCATCATCTACGAGCTGTCGCTGCAGGACGCCATCGCCCAGTACGCCGGCAACAACCCGTTCCAGGCCAACACGGCCTACATGGACCGCTTCTACGGCATCGGCAGCCAGGCCGGCCGCCTGGTGCCCGGCTACGACTGCCCCTACGGCGCCACCTACCTCAACAGCACCTACACCTCGGGCATCACCGTCTTCCACCAGCCGGGCAACATCTGCATCTTCGAGACCGACATCGGCACCCCCATCACCCGCCACGCCGAGGCCGAGTACCTGCAGGCTGCCAAGGGCTCCAAGCTGGTGGTGCGCATGATCGGCACCATCGGCAACTACGACTACCTCTGGGACTACGGCTTCTGGGTCGACGGCACCGTCACCGTCGACGCGCACGCCAGCGGCTACGTCCAGGCCAACTACTACCGGCCCGACGACGAGGGCCTCTGGGGCCCCCGCATCGAGGAGACCATCGCGGGCACGCTGCACAGCCACGTCATGAACTTCAAGGTGGACTTTGACCTGGTCGACTCCAAGAACACGTTCCAGAAGACCGAGATCGTCGTCGAGAACGTGACGCAGCCCTGGTTCCCCGAGCGCGGCGCCTTCGAGATGATGAAGTACAAGGTCAGCGAGCTCCAGACCGAGGACGAGGGCCTGCTGCAGACGCCCGCCAACGGCCAGGCCATGTACGCCGTCATCAACAAGGAGCACAAGAACAAGTGGGGCGTCCCGCGCGGCTACCGCATCCTCCCGGGCCTCTCCAACGTGGTGCTCCCGTCCAAGAACTCGCCCTTCTTCATCAAGAACGCCCAGTTCGCCAAGCAGCCCTTTGCCGTCTCCCGCCAGCACGACACCGAGCCCGACTCGTCCTCGTCGCTGAACCAGAACGTGCCCGAGGCGCCCATGGTGGAGTTCTACAAGTTCTTCGACGGCGAGGGCCTGGTGCAGGAGGACCTGGTGGCCTGGGTCAACCTGGGCATGCAGCACTACACGCGCGCCGAGGACGTGCCCAACACCATCATGTCCGAGGCGCACTCGAGCATCATGTTCGCGCCGCAGAACTGGGGCAACACGGAGCTGACGACGGACCTGAGCAACGCCATCATCTACAACTCGGACGGCAAGATCGCCGAGGGCGTCCAGCCCTTCACCAACGGCGTCAACGCGCCCAGCTGCCTCAACGCCGGCGCCGAGGACTCGCTGGCCGGCATCTTTTCCGCCCGCGCCCAGGGCAAGGCCAGCCTGCCGCACAACGGGCCAGTCCAGGTGCCCCCGTCCGCTGGTGCCTAAATGGAGGAGATTTTGGGGAGGAATTAATGTGTGCTAGTGAGAGGGGAAGGGTGAGGTGGTAAAATTATGCGGCTGGCCAGATGGGCGGGTTTCATGACTGCATGCTAATGAATGATCGAGTTAATGCTATTATGCTATCAATTAAGAAGTTTGACTAAGAATTCTTGTCTACGATTTTGTGATTATTCTTGCCAGAAGACACGAATTTTCCAAGTCTCGAGGTTGGGCTGCTTGCTTGTTAATGGCTATAATTTGGGGGTCAAGATCATTGTCACTTTATCCTGTCGAGTTGCCCAGGTAGACTCCGTATTGGAAGGACGCCTTTTGTTGAGTGTGGTGGTCGTTGGGAGGGGGGGTATATAGGGTTGCCATTATGTAGGTTATTGTGCGAGCACAATGGGACTCCATTCCATAAAGAGTATGAATGGCATTAGAAAATAAAAAGGAATTTACAATAGAAAGTAGAAGAATACGATTCCACAGACAACATGCCCCGCCAATGCTCGGATGGGTGCTTTTAACACACAAGGAACAGAGATGGTGCTGTTCTAATACTGTATAAACTGCAGCAGCCGGACTGTGTCACACGGCTTTCACTGAATGACAGAATGGCGCCAATAGAGGGGGTGTTATTGCCTCAGGCACCGACAAAATCAACCCACTCTGGGCGGCGCTAATGCGCCCGGGCCCCACATGGCAAAGCAGCTACAGAGTGTGTCACGTACAATCAATCGCGGAACGGTTGACGCGCTGCGACAATAAATAATCACGCCTAGCGAAAACGAAATCAGGGCGTCCTGGCTAGGAAAGGGTCGCATCCACGGCCCAGCGCCCAACGACCACCGCACATATCGCTGCCATTCAATGCTCTCTGCCAGACAGCCGCTCATGGAGGCTTCGGACAACAACGCGACTGCGTCGCCCGCCCCTGAGGACGGCTCGCGACGGAGCCGATCCGGGCGCGTCGTGCGGGCCCCATCAAAGTTCACCCCCGAGGCTGCGCCCGCCGCTGGCAAGCGCAAACGCCCCGAAGACCACGACGATGACGACGACGATGATGACACAGACGATGACGACAACCAAGGCCACGGCAACGGCGAGAACCTGGAGAACGAGCCGCCTGCCTCCGATAGCGAACTGAGCGACCCCGACGACGACATCGACGATCCCGACGACCAGGACCACGCCGCCATAGCAGGCCATGCGCGATCAAAGAAGAGGCGGCCGGCGTCTTCAAACAAGGTGAAGAAGCCGGCCGCGAAGAAACCAAAGATCAATGGCTCCACCCCCACCTACGCTGCCGACCTGCCCAGCAGGCCCAAAAAGGCGGCGCGTGTCGCAATCGTCGACAACGACGGAGAGGGCCTCTATGGTGAGCGCTAGGCCCCTGGATACGCGTCGCGCAACCTGAGAAATATGGTGGAGACACGAGTGTGGACGCTGACTTTGCTCGTGGCCGCACAGCTGATGTCTTCGGGTCTGGCGCGCGCGCCGACGACGTTGCTGGCCGCTGGTACACCAGCTACAACGAGGACAAGGCCGCCGCCGTCAAGGACCTGGTCAACTGCGTCCTGCAGGCGGCCGGCTGCCAGCACCAGATCAGCGAGGACGACGTGAACGACCCTGATAACTGCGAGAACCGACTCGCCGAACTCCAGAGTCTCTATGAGGATGTAAGCCTAGCTCGCTGCCTTCGTGACAGCTCACCCCTGCACACCCCCCAAGACCCCGCCCCCTGACCCCTGTCGCGATATTGCGCCTAATGCTTCCCCTACCATCAGCAACAACTTGCCGAGTATCCCTTGATCGCCAAGTCGCGCACGACGCGATCCTTCCGGACGCTGCTTGTCGAGTTCTTTGGCTCCCTCATCACCGTGCTGCACGAGACCCAGGCGCTGTACGAGGATGAGGCCCTCATGGAGAACATCGCCAGATGGGTGGCCACCATGTCGTCGTCAACCCTACGTCCCTTCCGACACACGGCCACAACGGTCTCACTTGCCATGCACTATGCGCTCGTTAATGTCACTAGGAAGGTCGACGAGCGCATCATCAAGATCACGCAGCAGCTCGAGAGCGAAAAGGGTCGCAGGAAGGACAAGGCCAGTAGGGACAAGATCGCGTCCCTGCAGGCTTCCCTAGACGAGGCCAACCAGCACAGGGAGGTGTGCGGCACGCAGATGACGGATCTGTTCGAGACAATCTTTGTGCACCGCTACCGCGACATCGACGTGCGCATCCGGACAGAGTGCGTCGAGGCCCTCGGCACATGGATCTACCTTCTCCCCACAGTGTACATGGAGCCCGAATACCTCCGCTACCTCGGCTGGATGCTCACGGATACGAACCCTGGGACCCGCGCCGAGGTTCTCCGACAGCTGGCGAGGATCTTCAAGCGGGACGCCGAGAAGCTCGGCCACTTCATCGAGCGGTTCAGGGATCGGCTGGTGGAGATGTGCACCAGAGACACGGACGTTGCCGTCAGGGTGGCCGCCATATCTGTCATTGACTGCCTCCGCGTGCAGGAGATGCTGCAGCCCGACGACATTGACCAGATCGGCAAGCTCATCATCGACGCTGATGTGAGGATACGCAAGGCCGTCTCGGACTTTTTCGTGCTTGGCATCGAGGACAGTGTCGAGCTCAAGATCCAGGAGATTGGAGGCAGCGAGGCCCTCGAGGAGGTCTTTGAGCAAGACCAGGATGCCTACGACTCGCCGCGCAAGGACTGGATCAAGATCAAGTGCCTCGCCGAGATGTTGGCGGGCTACGCGGCCGACGAGGAGCCGGCCCCCCCGCGCACCGAGGCGGTCGAGATTGCCACCGACGTCATTGAGCCGGCCTTCACCGAGACTCGTGTCACGCTGGCGTCGCAGGCACTATTCGAGAAGTTACCCGAAGTTAGCAACTGGGAAATTATCGCGGGTTACCTGCTCTTCGACCACAGCGTCAGCCAAGCGTCCAAGTCTAGATCCAAATCGAAGCCGACCGAGGCAACCTTCAGAGCCGCTGTCGCGCCCGAGGGCGAGGAGGAGGCGATCCTGCTCGAAGTCCTGGCTGCGGCTGTGCAGCTCAACCTAGCCCAGAACGTCGAGCATGACAGGCACAGGAAAAGACCGGCAAGGACGGCCGACGGCGAGGTGCCCGAGGGCACAGCCGTTCACCTCGCCGACGCCATCCCGCGCCTGCTGAACAAGTACGGCGCCGAGGCGAGCACAGCCAGGATAGTCCTGGGCCTGCACCACCACCTAGACCTCGAGGTTTTCCTGCAGCTCCGCCAAGACACCACCACATACGCCCGCCTCCTAGACGAGATATGTGCGCAGTTCCTTCGGCACGCCGACTCGGCCGTCATATTCCAGGCGACGCGTGCGCTACTTGTCGCGCAGAGGCACGAGGAGCTGAAGGAGCTGGCTGAGCGCAAGATCGAGGACCTGTGGCAGAACATTGTCGCTTCTCTTCGCAGGTTCGACAGGAGCACAGAGCTTTCGGTGCGCGGAAACCTGGACGAGAACGTGCTGCTTCAGCTTATCACGGTCGTCATGAAGATCAGCAAGCTGGCCAGCATCTGTCATTGCGTCCAAGTTCTCGAGGCCGAGGGCGAGTCGGACGAGTCAAAGTCGCCGGCCATCAACATCCTGGCCAATATGGTGTATCGCGGCCGGCTCGGCGAGGTCAACGACGACATCGATAATATCGAGGACGAGCTGACCGTGTACACCATCAAGGCGTGCAACTTCTACTTTGTGTGGAAGACGCACGACATCAGGACAGCCATCCAGAACAACTCCGACATACCAGACCCCGAGATTAGCAAGCTGTCGTACCTGCGCCAGGCATATGACACGAACCTGGTGCACACTTTCTCTTCGCGCGGTGGCTACGACGACCTCCGGCTCTTCGCCACGGGCAACCTCTGCGACCTCCAGCTCCTATGTGCCAGCATCGGCACAGCCGTCGCCACCTGCGGTGACCTGGACAGGTATACAGGCCTGAAGGTGCTGGTGCGCGAGACGGATCCGGGCCAGGTGAGCGAGATCATCGCCATTTACGACACGGCCGAGCGTCTGTATGGGCAGCGCGCGCGGCGCCAGCTAGGCGACGCTGCCGCTGACGACGACCCGCTCGACGAGGACGTTCTCAGCGACGACGAGGCCGAGGCTGACAAGGGCCGGACCGATGAGGGCCGCCGCGTAGCCGAGCTCCGGGCCGAGAAGAACCTGTGCGACATAGCCGCCAAACTCGTCATGATCGTGCGCGCCCGCATGATCGACCAATCCGGGCCCCGCGCCGGCCGCCTGCGCCGCCGCCTCTTGCGCAACCAACACAGGCTGGGGCCCAACTTCAAGGCCGTGGTGGCTTTCCTGGACGAGTCCAAGGACCCCGAGACCGTGGGCGCCGGCGCCGGCGACAGGAAGAAGAGCAGGTCTGCGGCGGCCAAGGGCAAGCTGCCCGCGATCGCGACGGCCGCCGCCGCCGCCGCCGCCGCCGCCGACTCGGCGGGCGGCAGGAAGCAGCACCTCAGCGACGAGATGGTGACGGCCGACGACATCGAGGACGACGAGCCAGAGCCCGAGGAGGGCACCGTTGAGGACCTGCGCCGCCGCGAGCTGCTCGACGACCCCATCGAGGACGAGCCCGAGGAAGAGGACGAGGATGAGGGCGGCGGCGGTGGCGGTAATGACGGCATGGATGAAGATAGCGTTATCGGGGACTAATCAGACGGCAGAGCAAGTAAGAAAAAAATATCTCATGGCGCTTGGTTTTATGGTTTTTCTTCCTCTTGGCTGTACCTATTTTCCGGCCTCAATTCTTCTCTTCGTCTACGTGTCTTTTTTTCTTCTCACCCCTTCACGGACGGACTGGGAGGACGATATTTGGCATGACTTGATTTCTTTTTTCTGTTCTATCCTTTATCCTCTTCCCTTTTGGGCACCTCTCGGAACCACCCGTTTCAGCCCTACCTGCCATTCATGATGGCATCCTATTAAAACGTCAATATCGAGCCCACCTACTTGGCTTCCCCATAAACTGCGAAAGCTGCATGTCGCGTCAGGTATATATCATGTTATTGAGACGAGACTTCACCGGGCTTGTCCACGAATAGACTGGCAAAGTTGTGTGATAAGCTAGGTAGTTCTCTATCCAGCAAGTCCCTTTTGTGAGAGGAGAGGACTACCGAAGTAAGGCAAGAGACATCGGAATTGCGTGACAAGATCGCCCACACATGTTCCACACAACGCATTGAAGCGCACACACCAGATCGTTTCGTGAATGCGTTCGAAACGCTTGCACAAAACCAAGCCTGACCGCAGTGCCAACCGCACCACAACCCGGCTCTCTCAGAATTGGTTCCTGATCTTGGTCCCGAACAGAGCAAAGGCGCGTTTCCACTTGACCCCCTCACCGGCATCGGCCTTCTTCTCATCGGTAGTCCTCGTCTTGATACCATACTGCTTGATGCAGCACGAGAAAGGGAGGTTGCGCAGCTGCTCCGCGTCTCCTCCCTGCACTGAATCTACGTCGGAACAGGGCGGTGGCAAGTTAGCCTCGAGGCGCTTTTTGACGTCCAGGCTATCCTTCCGGGACCTCTTGATCTCCTCCAGGTTTCCCCAGAGATGGAACATTTTCTCGCGCAGCTGGAGTAGCTGGCTGGGGCTGTCGCGGAGGCTATAGCCCGCTTTCGGTTAGTGCATCTCGCGACACAACATACTATTGGAAAGACAGATTGCAGCAAGGAAGTGAATAAAGGATGATACTTACTCTTCGGGGTCCAGGCCGGTCAGACACTGGCCTTCAAGCTTGTCAACAAGAACCTCGATGCGGTCCAGGGCTCCACCCCCGGGTTTTGGGACCGCGTCCTCCAGCACCAGTGTAAAACGCCACTCCCAGGCGTACGTGCCACCGCTACCGTCATAGCTGCTGCGGATAGAACTGCCGCCCGAGGACTCTCCGTCTTCGTCAGAAGAAAGCACGTCGAACTCGGTGACTTTGCGGCGAACGGCAAAGTCCTCGAGCTTGCTAGGGAAGAAGTCGACGATGCGGACCGCTGCTCGGTACTTGAGATTGACGAAGGGAAGCTCGATGGGGACCTTCTGTCCTTCGCCAGCATCGACCGCAATGGTGTTCACTTGAAGGATCTCGGAGATGGTGCTAGCCTTGCGACCAAAAGCCTCACATTGGACTGAGTTGACAGGGTCAGTAACTGCCAATCACACCAAGATGGATAGACTTGGCCATTGAAGCTGATAGAGACTCACCAAGTGGATTCAGGTCGATTGCCGGCGACTCTTCGATCTCGTTAGGAATAGGGGCTGTGGGCTCTGGACCCTGACCAGAACCATTCGACTGCCCATTTTTCAATTTTTCCAGCCTTTCAGCCGCACGCGCATTGGCCCTCTTTTTCTCTCGCTTCAGTTTGCTTTTGGATACGGGCTTGTCCTCTTCGTTTTTCCTCTTGGTGCCAGCAGCCATGGCGACAGGCCCCCCGCTAGCGCTCTGCCCGCTATCCACCGTCCAGGTCTTGAGAGCGTCACTGGCCGTGGGAAGAACATTGCTGGTCTGGCGTCCTGCTTTTCTCTCCTTCTTCTCGTGGTCACGCTTACGTCTCAGCGCTTCGACAAGGTGGGGATCGAGGCCGTCACGGTCAGCCCGGGTATCGAGCAAGGATACACAGACCCCGTGCTTGAACCTGTCTTCGTCCCGGTCGCCGCGCATGAAGCCTTCCAGGTTCTGTCCGTTTCTGCCGATCCGTATGTTGACGTTCCGTAGAGCAACCCAGGCGCCGGCCACGACGTTCTTGAGGAGGAAGGTCGCATGTGGTTCCCAACAGCTGAGCTGCAGCGACATCTTGCCAAAAGGTCCTGGCCACGCTGGAACAGACTCCGAACTTGCAACGCAAAACTTGTTCGTGTAGCCGTAAGGATCCCCATCTCGAAACCCATCACCAGAGAGACTGCCACTGGGGTCTGAGACGTGATCGAAGAAAGCGTTATTGACCGTGTAGTCGGTCACCCAGAGCGTGACTTTGTCCCCCAGGTTGTAGGGGGCTTTCACAGCTTGGACGACCAAGTCGTGAAACTTGTCGTGCGAGACCTTGTTCAGAGTACTGAATTTGGTGGCCACGTTTAAAGACCGAGTTGCCATCTCCTGGAACTCCTCGGCGGTGGGCAGAGAATACTTGTCGACGTTGTGATAGAGGTAGGAGACGTATTCGGTCTCTTTCTTCCCATACGTCTTGGTCTTTTCCCCAGCCTTGTTCTTCAGAGCAACTGAGGCATCTCCTGGCGGCCTGGGGATCCGGCTGGCTTCGTACACATTGAGAGTGGTTGAGCGGTGTGTGATGAGTCCTTGGTTGCCGGACCAGTTTTGGACCTGGGCACTCCAGTCAGCTGGCGGGCTTGACCAACCAGGTGGACAGGCGCAGGAGGAGCCATTCCCGACTGATGATGTGAGTTGACTAACCTTGACAGAGCTGACCAGCACGACATCTGCCCGATTGATGGCTGGCATCTTGTCCGGGTGACGAAAAATTGTGAGGCGAATGTCACGCTGATCATCGTCGGTAGAGAGGTCGAAGAGTGTGGCCTCCATCTTGAAGTCTACGCGGAATGTTAGCAGGCAGCGCTTTGGCACATCCATCAAGTGGCATGTGTTGCAGAGTCGTTGGGAGGACCTACCACTCCCCCTGGTTGGAACAGGCAGCCGGCAATCTTTGACGATGCCGACCAGGTTCACCAGGCTCCCAGGCCCGACACCCTCTTCGTCAAGAACGGCCTGGATGGAGACGAAGCCTTTCGGCAGAGCAGGCAGAACAGGCCCTGGATTCATCTTGAAAATCTGTTGGTCGAGACATCAACACCTTGGTTGCTGCGACATGGGTGGGAGAAGAATGGGGGATTCGACCTCAATAAATAGGTCGGCAAAAAGACTGGAAGAGGCACCCCGAGCATTGCGTGTTCCACCGTTAGGGTTCGCTGTTTGACACCTCCAGTGATGAAGGTGCTCCGGATGGTTTACAAGCACCAGGCTACCTGAGAATTCGCGACAGCCCGACGCGATCAATGGGCGCGCGCGCGTGCCCTACCCCGCGAAATCATGTGAAAGCACCGAACGTGCTCCAACCTAGCAGAGCTCTGTGCGCACGGACCATAAGCGGGCCCACTGGCTTCTGCAAAGCCTGGGCCCCATGGAGGGCGCAACCAGGTGTGGAAAAGAATGGAGAGGATATATATAGATGGGATTCCGTTGAAGACATCAATGGTAATAGCAAGGAGGCAGGCCCAAGGGCAGGTTGGAAATAGGGTTGCCATGGAATCCAGTCATTTCAATCTATCTGGCCGCTGTGGTGGGTAACACGGGGGTGCCGGATGGGGGAGACGCATTGCGACAAAGCGTGACCCGATGCGTACTCTCCGCGACCAGACATGCACCTTATCCCTAAAGTACCTCCTTAGGCACAGCCCCCAAGGTCTGGCCCAACAGGGAGACCGTGCAGGCAATCCCCTAACCCAAACCGGTGGCACGGACTTCTGGGGGCGGTTGCTTCCCGCCGCCTCGCGGCGTCACCTTGTTCAGGGCTTCATCAGGGTCTTGATCGGTGCGAGGAAGCAGGACGGATCGGGAGAAACAACACGAACAGTCTCGCCACTTTTCTGTCAGATTCCAACACGTGGCCGCCTTCCAGCCCAATCTTTGATTTGTTTAGGTTTACACGTCCAGGTTTGAAATTTGATCATTTAGTAGCCCCAGCCGGCCGGCCAGTGTTGTTTTATTGCCCCACCCAAGTGTGGCCTTGGGCCTTAGGCAGGAACGCCTACGCAGGGCGCGGCCCGTCTGGCACTGTGCGGTGCAGCGAGTCGCTGCAGGGAGAGCCATGGTATTGATGCAAGCAAATAGGCCCGTTCCACTGCCCGCCGCTCGCTCCGGCAACTCAAAAAAGCTTTCCCGTTTCCCACACGGTCAAGACAAAGAGACCCAGAAGGCGAGCCTTTTAACCCATCGTCTTTCCTTTTCCCCCCAACTCGCACCCTCCTTTTGTTGTTACGCCAGATTTTTCCTTTCCACCCCGCCCGCCACCGCTCAAGCTTGTGACTGGCAATTCCTCTGGCCGAACCCGTCGCATTTCTGAAGCCCGCAACCCACGCCGCCCTGCTCTCGGCTGCTCGACAGCCTCCCACGCCCGTCCCTCCTCCGCCAGAACCGCAGAACCCACCCCTCCCTAGAGCCTAGAGCCTCGACGCTCGACACGCGCAGCAACCATGGCCGACCGGTACATCCCCGAGCACCGGCGCACCCAGTTCAAGGCCAAGAACACCTTCAAGCCCGATGAGCTGAGGAGGCGCCGCGAGGAGCAGCAGGTCGAGATCCGCAGGGCAAAGCGCGAGGAGAACCTGGCCAAGCGCAGAGGAATCGGCACAGGCGCCGACCGCCCTGGCGCCTCGCTCGGCGCTGCCCCTGACAGCGACGATGACACCGCTCCGACCGAGTCTCAGGTATGCCGGATCTTTTCCCAGTCCTTTCGGGGATATTTTCCTTGTCGTTGCCGCGCACTTGGCCACCGTGTCGGCCTAAGCGCCTTGCACTCGCGGCGCGGGGTTTTCAACTAGGCCTCAGTTTGGTCTTGCTCGCGCTCGGCCTTTTTTTTCCAACCCCGATCCACCTTCATCTCGCAAACAGACATGTATTTTTTCATTCCTTTTCTTTTTTTTTTTTTTTTNTTTTTTTGCGATGGAAACCGATGTCTGCCCCCGCTCCCCACCTTCGTACTTGCCTCTCGTCCCCTCCACCCTGCACCCCTCCATCTGGTATCCCCTCCAATAGCCTGGTCTCCTACGAGGCTGCGTGTTTGCCTTGCATAACGCCGGCCACGCCCCATACAAACACTTCGGAAGAAGGCATTGGGAACATGACTTTCTTGCGACCATGCAACCCCGGGTTTCGGCTCTTTGCCTCGCGCCAGCGCTAACGCCACCGACTCTATTTAGCTCAACGAGGACCTCCCCCAGATGGTACAGGGCGTTTTTTCCGAGTCAATCGATGCCCAGATTCAGGCCACCACCAAGTTCAGGAAGCTGCTCTCCAAGGAGCGCAACCCCCCGATAGAAGAGGTCATCAAGACCGGCGTCGTCAGCCGCTTTGTTGAGTTTCTTCGTTCGCCACACACCCTGGTCCAGTTCGAGGCTGCCTGGGCCTTGACCAACATTGCCAGCGGCTCGGCCACGCAGACCCAAGTCGTCATCGAGGCTGGTGCTGTTCCCATCTTTGTGGAGCTTCTGGCTAGCCCCGAGCCCGATGTAAGGGAACAGGCCGTTTGGGCGCTGGGTAACATTGCAGGCGACAGCCCTCAGTGCCGTGACTATGTTCTCAACTGCCAGGCGCTGAAGCCACTTCTCAACTTGCTCGGAGACAGCCGCAAGTTGAGCATGCTCCGCAACGCGACGTGGACTCTGAGCAATTTCTGTCGTGGCAAGACCCCTCAGCCCGAATGGGGAACCGTAAGTTACCCCGCAACTGACCCAAGTCACTTTCCCGTTCTCGGCCTAACCCGTGGTTGCTCCAGATCGCACCCGCTCTTCCCGTGCTTGCGAAGCTCGTTTACTCGCTTGACGACGAGGTTCTGATCGACGCTTGCTGGGCCATCTCGTATCTCTCGGATGGCTCCAATGACAAGATCCAGGCCGTCATCGAGGCTGGAATCCCACGCAGGCTTGTGGAGCTGCTCATGCACGCCTCCACCTCGGTGCAGACCCCTGCTCTCCGCTCGGTCGGCAACATTGTGACGGGTGATGATGTGCAGACCCAAGTTATAATCAACTGCGGAGCCCTCCCGTGCCTCCTTTCCCTTCTCGGCTCCAATAAGGATGGCATCCGCAAGGAGGCCTGCTGGACCATTTCCAACATCACTGCTGGAAACTCGGCCCAGATCCAGTCGGTTATTGATGCCAACATCATCCCGCCCCTCATCCACCTCCTCTCCAACGGCGACCTTAAGACCCGCAAGGAGGCCTGCTGGGCTATCAGCAACGCGACCTCGGGAGGCCTGCAGAAGCCAGAACAGATCCGCTACCTTGTTGCCCAGGGATGCATCAAGCCACTTTGCGACCTTCTGGCATGCCCCGATAACAAGATCATCCAGGTTGCGCTCGATGGCCTCGAGAACATCCTCAAGGTCGGCGATCTCGATAGGCAGGCGGCCGGCGAGGGCCAGGACGCGATCAACCGCTTTGCGCTCTTTATTGAGGAGTGCGGCGGCATGGAGAAGATCCACGACTGCCAGACCAATGCCAACGAGGAGATCTACATGAAGGCGTACAACATCATCGAGAAGTACTTTTCGGACGACGACGACAACGCTGAGGACGCCACACAGGCCCAGGGTGCCAACGGCACCTTTGGCTTCAGCGGCGCCGAGGGCGGCGCTGCCCAGCCAGGCCAGTTCAGCTTCGCCAACGGTGGCGAGTCGATGGACATGTAAAGCGCTGCAGCCGGGCTGGTCTTGTCGCAGATGGCTTGGGAAGCAGGCAATCGGACCTGCCCACCTTGATCCGACCAAAATACGTTGTCTCAACCTTCACATCACAAAAACGACCATCCTGTCTGTCTGATTGGTAGCACACCCCTTGCCCCCCGATTCCCCCACACCCCCTCCCCCTACTGGCGTTTGTTATTTTCTGCATTTTTGCCGCTAGGCGAGAACGAGAAGACGGGCCCTTTGGTAGCTTGAAAGCTCCAGCCCAATGCGGTGTTGAAGACACAGGCGACGATGAAGATGTTAATGCGGACTGGAAGGATGTGAAAGGACCAGGGTCTTTAATGGTTGCTTTAAAGCTCCAACCCTGAAGAAAAATAAGCGCGAGAAATCTGATCGCGAGCCCAGGGGGACGCGCCCAGTAGGCGCGCACCCACCGCCGAGCCCCGCCGGCACGATGCGTAAACCCGTCGCGCACCACTCCGCCTCGGCCAACAAGGCCGATGGTGGGGGACGGCAGAGGGGGCAAGACGGACAGTCTGGCAGACCAAGACTTGCCGGTGGAAACATCGATTGTCAGCTAGTGCATGACGGGAAGAGCGATGCCCCGGGGAAAAACAAGTCTTGAAACACCCCATTTAGCAGTGTTGTGGATATCTTGAAGAGTTGAAGCCAGGGACCAAGTGGTCGTTGGCACTTTCGAGGTTAGCAAACAGCACCCTTTAGTATCGATCAAGCCGGCGACAGTGTCGAGTTCGTATTGCCCGCTTACGACTCGTCGCAGTTGCCAAAACAAAACAATCGATTCTGGACCATGTATGAACATAACCCTGGTGATCCCTGCATGCCTGTTTGTGCTTTGGTTTGACAGTGAACAAAGCATACGCTTTCGAGATGGAGTGCGTTACCCATTCCAAGGTGGTGCAGAATCTAGGCCTCTGTATGTAATTTTCTATGGAGCCCCTGCCCAAGATACCAATGTGCCTGGTCGATCTTTTTTTTACGCATCCAAACCGTCAAACTCAATCAGCTTGATGACGGCCTTCACAACGTCGTTGTCTGCGAGCTCCAGGGACGGGTTGTCGACCTTGAGGGCAATGACATCGTCGACCATGCCGCGCAGACGTGAGATCAACACCCCTATACGGGCCCAGCCCCGCAGGCGCAGCCAGCCGTCGACGACCAGCCCACGACCAAGGGTATCCAGCTCGATGGCACCCGAGAACATGAGGAGCGTGTACGCGTTGAAGGCTGTGCCGCTCGTGTGTTAGCGCTATGCACCTTTTTTTTCTTTTTTTTTCTTTTTTTTTTGCCTGCCTGCCTCTATGGACAAATACTCGGTTGCAGAGGAAAGTAGTGTGAGAACCACTTACGCGTGAGATCCCGGATAAACACCTTGGAGGTGGAGATGATGGAAAAGTAGGACAGGAAGGCGGCGTTGCCCGAGAAGCCCTCGCTGTCGAATAGGGTGCTGCTGGGGTGGACAAAGGCGCGGCCGTGGTCCTGGGTGTAGTAGCGGATGGTCTTGGCCTCGGGGTCGAGCTCGACGGTGCCCGACATGGAGGTGGCGAACTTCTTGTCCGGGAACTGGATGCGGGCGATCTGGGGCGCAAAGGCGGATGCGGTCAGGGCGCGCAACAACGGCAAGTTCTGGGAGGACCTGGACCCTTGGCGCTGCTCGGCGGCGGCGTCGGCGCGCGACACGAGCCCCAGCTCCATGAGGGACTGGTAGTACTGGGTGCGGGCCGAGGCGACGTCGGACAGGGTATAGTGCGAGAGGAAGTTGTCGTCGCAGAAGGCGCGGACGCGGCGGGGCGGCACGGCCGGGTCGCGCGACAGGTCGTCCCAGGCCTGGAGGGCGCGCAGGTCGGTGAGGAGGTCGCCGTCGCCGGCGGCGAAGCGGGACCGTGCCTCGCGCGCGGCGTCGCGCTTGTCGGGCGGGGAGACGAAGACGCCCCGGCCGCCGCTAAGAAGGGCGGCGATGGAGACGCAGCCGTCGAGGCAGCCAAAGACGGCGCCGTAGACCATGAGCTTGCCGCAGCGCAGGTCGGCGGGGATGGCGGCCAGCTGGCGGCCGAGCGCGGTGAGCTCGTCGCCGTCGAGGCAGCATGCGGCGGAGCAGGGCCAGGGCGCCGTCGACGGCGGCGGCCTCGGGCGGGGTCGGGGCGCGGGCCAGGAAGCCGCGGACGTCGGCGACGCCCATGGCGCGCACCGAGAGGCAGAGCTGCTCGAGCGGGACGCGGCGCATCTCGGGCTCGGGCCGCTCGGGCATCTGGGCCTCGAGCTTGCGCGTGTAGAGCTTGTAGCACTCGCCCTCCTGCACTCGCCCCGCGCGGCCGCGGCGCTGGCGGCACGCGGCCAGGGAGGCGAAGGACTCGTCGAGGCGGCGCATGTTTGTGACGGCGTCGTAGCTTGTCTCCTTGACCTTGCCCGTGTCGACCACGACGACGATGTCGTCGATGGTGATGGACGTCTCGGCCACGTTGGTGGCCACGACGACCTTGCGCTTGCCGGGCGGCGGGGGCGCGAAGACCTTGCGCTGCTCGCGCGTCTCGAGCGAGGCGTGCAGGGGCAGCACGTGCAGGCAGCTCACGGCGCGGAGCATGGCGCAGGCGCGGTTGATCTCGGCCACGCCTGTCAGGAACACGAGGATGCCGCCGCTCTTCTTCTGGATCGACAGGTCCTCGTCGATGGCCTTGGCCGTCTCGAGCAGGAGGTTGTAGTTGATGCGCGAGCCCAGGTTCTGGATGGCCTTGGCCACGGGGTCGGCGTCGGCGCGCACGTTTGCGGTGCCGAACTCGGTCATGCGGATCACGTCGTCGAGGTAGTAGTCGGTCACGGGGAAGGTCCGGCCGGCGATCTCGACCATGCCGACGCTGAGGCCGTCCTCGGAAAAGTAGTTGCGGAACGTGGCCGAGTCGAGCGTGGCGCTCATGAGGATGAGCTTGAGGTCGCGCCGCCGGCCCTGGCGCAGCACGTCGCGCAGGATGCTGAGCAGCAGGTCCGTGTCGAGGCTGCGCTCGTGGACCTCGTCGATAACGACGTGGCTCACGTCGGCGAGCGACGCCGCCACGTCCTCGACGCGCCCGCCCGACACCTGTAGCCGCCTGAGCAGGACGCCCGTCGTCACAAAGGTGATGCGCGTGCGTGGGCCCGTCTTGGTCTCGCCCCTAATGGAGTAGCCGACCTCGTGGCCCACGCCGGGGCAGCAGCGCTCCTCGCTGACGCGGTCCGCCAGGCCCAGCGCCGAGATTCGCCGTGGCTGCGTCACGACCATGTTGGCCGCGTAGCCGAGGCCGCGCGAGTACAGATCGTCGAGAATGAACTGGACCGACTGCGTCGACTTGCCCGAGCCTGTCTCTCCGGCGATGATGGTGACCTGGTTCTCCATGACCGTGGCCACGAGCTCGTCGCGCACCTGCCACGCCGGCAGCTTCTGCCTCTGGCCCAGCATCTTGCGGTACGCCGGCGCCTCCTGTCGCCGGAGCCACTCTTCCTTGCTGGCGTTGTCGGGCACCCAGCTGATGGGTTTTGGCCGCCGCCCCTTTCCGCGACCGACCGCCCTCCGGACCGACGAGGGCTTCTCCTCTGACGCCGCCGAGGCCACGGCGGCGATGTCGCGCAGCGGGCCCGGCCGGTCGATGATGTCGTTGATGCATTCCTGCACCCACGAGACAACAAAGTAGATCTTGGTTTCCTCGCCCCTGAGTGACTCGTCCATGTAGGAAAGCGCGCGCTTGATGATGCTGAGCTTGATGTAGGCCGGCAGGGGCGCAACCAGCGAGAGAATCAGCTGCTCTGGGTAGTGCGGCGACTTGCGGAACTGCATGAAGATCTCCGCGTCCTTAACGGGCCCGACTTTGACGTCTTCAAGTTTGATTTGGCACACGTCAGCGCTTGGGCGGCTGAACAGCTCGCCAAACACAGACTCGAGACTTTCCATCTCCTCGGTCCAAACCTCGTCAGGTTCGCGCCAGGACTCGGCTGCGTCATCGGCGGAGGCAGCAGCATCGCCTTGAGTGGCACCCCCGCTGGATAGAAGGACTTTTTGGAGAGCCTCGGCGGCCCGACCCTCATCGCCTCCAGACTCATCAAAGACCTTTTTGCAAAGCTCGGCCGAGTAGCCAGATTGGGCCAGCCTCTTGATGGCGCCCTCCCTCTTGAGGTCCGTGGCACCCACGGTGACGCCGGCAGTGTAGCTCTCGGGTAGGGCCCAGCGCGGTAGGTCGTCCTCGGGCACGTGGATAAGCAGCCACTCCAGAGTCTCCTCGCGATCTTTACACTCCTCGACTGCCTCCTCGACGTGGCTCTCGCGGAAGCCCAGCTCCTTGAGCGACGTGACGACGGCCACCTTTTGTTCAGGGCTCATGGCTATGCCGTTGGGGTTCCACACCGACAGGCGCCGCAGCAGGCCCTCAATCAGCGTGCGCGTCTTGTTGCCCATCTCGACCTTGGGCGCTGTCGTCCAGCCCCTCATCGGGTCGAACCCGCCTCTCCCTCCTCCTCCTCCTCCTCCTCCGCCGCCTCCCCTACCCCGGCCACTTGGAGACCCTGACCTGCTGCCGCTTGCAGAGTTTGCGGCGTTGCTCCTCAGCACGAGCCCCGCGGCGCCCGGCAGGCTGGCGGCCTTCTCCCTGACGGCCTGCTGCTGGGCGCGCAGCTTCTCCTTTGCGGCCTTGGCCTCCTCGCGCTCGCGCAGGGCGGCAAAGGGGTCGGCCTCGTACATCCAGGCCTTGCCCTCCTTGACGTCCTCCTTCTTGAGGGCCTGGAACTCGTCGCGCCAGAGGGAGCGGTAGTCTGGAGGCAGCATCATGTGCATGTTCTTCATGCTGCAGACGCGGAAGAGGCCATAGGTGGCGGCGAAGTGCTTGGCCTCGAGGGCCGTGGGCCTGTAGGCCAGATGCACGTGGCTAGGCGGCAGCTTGAAGGGCTCTAGCTTGGCCATCTCGCCCGTCTTTGGGTTCTTGGCGGCAAGGCGGACGAAGACGGAGAAGCCCTCTTTTGTTTTGCGCTAGATTTGGCATTAACATGGATTTTTTTTTCTTCTTGATATGGTAGACGAGCTATGTATGGAGGGAATGGTAGGCAAGAGGAAGGTTTCTGCTGACAGTGCTGGCTGACGACAGTCGACAAGTTTCCTTACAGTGTCATAGTCGGGCCTCTCCCACTTCATCTTCTGGCAGTGCTCCGAGAGCAGGTTGACGGGCAGCTTGCCGGTCCATGAGGAGCCGCCGATGATCTGTTTCGCCGTAGGCTTGGGCGGGCCATCAACCGCCTCGCCAGCGGCAGCGCTGGCGCCCGCCCCTGAGCTCGATCCTCCTCCGCCTCCGCCTCCGCCTCTCCTGCCCTTCCCGTCGCCATCCTTGGTGGAGGTGGTGAAGACGATGAAATCGTCCTCGGCGGGGGGTTTCTTGGCCTTGGTGGCCTTGCTGGAGGACGTAGAGGCAGCCGCTAGAGCCGGAGCCGGGGTCTTGCTTGAGCCGCCGCCGCCCTTCTCTTTGCCCTTTTTCACCATGGCGGTCAGTGCGGGATTTGGGGGGAGATGCACGGGACGATGCCACTGGCCGGGCCGCTGACCGCGAGTTTTTTCTTTTTGGCCTCGAGGAAAAAGCAAGAAAACTCCCGACCACGCCTTTCCCCCTTGAGCCTCTCTTTGCTTCTTTTGTTTTTTTCCCTTTAATTTTCTTTCCTTTTTGTTTGTCGCTTTCCCTTCTGTTTGAGCCGAGTTCAGATACCCGTTACTTTGCAGGGGCTCTGTCGCCGAGTGACAGTCAGCCTTCCCCCAGAATAGCACTCGTTTCCAGGCTGATTGCGGCAATCACACCTGGGCTCCTCGAGTCTGAGCATTCCAGCCGTGCCTCCCGTCCACAGCCACCTTAGCTTTGTAAAGTGTGGGGCGTGCCGGGTTCTGGTAGTCCAGTAGCGTCTTTTAATTGGCCACGGTTGTTTGATGTTTGACTCCAAACAATTGTGGACCCCCAGTAGGGGCGGGCTGGTGCAGTGACTTGGCGACGACCAAGCAGTGCTCTGAGCAGCCAGGAGTGGAGTCAGCGCAGTAGGAAATTCAAAAGCAATTCGCCTGGAGAAAATATGATTGGCAACTCGAGGCTGATTTGCACGCTTCATCGACGCTGCCTTTGCTTTGCCGCCCCTGCCGAGTTTGCTTTTCTTTTCTTTGCTGCGCTGAAAGAAGGATCCAGTACGTAGAAGGAGCGCGTCTGACGGCACAGATAATACCGGAAAACACGCACACACGGATCGGACACCTCGTGCTTCCTTGTGGCCTGGGAATTTGCCGAGCGTCGGAAACCTTCGACCGTTGCTGCTTCTGATTGGAGGCACGTGCGTCACACACTCTGCGAAGCACCGACGGGCTTCTGGCCGCGCTGGCCACAGGCCTGAGTTCCCCACCCAAAAGATCCGTTTATTTACTTGCAGGGCTCCCTGGACACGCAAGGCCAGCTCTGGAGGATCGCCAACCGCCAGGCGTCGGATGAGAGTTCGCTGACAATCAACACGAAGCCTCTTTTTTTCTTTTTTCTTTTACTCACTGTGACCTCACTGTCGCTCCAATCACTCCCCACCCCTCCCCTCCCGCCCCGAGGCCGGCGCCCGATTCGCGTCTTTCCGGTAATGCCCCAGAGTGTGCGTCGTGCTTGCATCGACCTGGCACCACCACCACCAGCTTAGCTGTCGCGAGGTCGTCCCAGTGACCCACCAAAAATCAATGGAGACTGCTCCAGGATACCGCTCTGCATCTAAGCGCGACGAGGATCCCAAGCGGGGTCCAGTTCCAGTTCCGATGCCCGCCCACGGCCTGACGCTGCCAACACCGCTCAAGTCGCCGGCACAAGCCTTTCAGCGCGACCCCGTCGAGGCCCTGCGCGACCTGCAGTCCGACGCAGAAGCCGACACGCCCGGCGGCCCCGCCCACCCTGACGACGACGACGCTGACGACGATAGCATCGCCGACGCGTCTCATTCCGCCGATGGCCAGCTCGCCGCCGAGGTTGCCGCCGCCGCCCAGGCAGCACACGACAGTCTTGCCGACGACAGCGACGATATAAAACACGAGAATCACGTCTCCGATGGCGTCGTAGATCCAGCAGCCGCGGCCGCCGCAGCTGCTGCTGCTGTCGCCGCCGCCGCAGTAGGCGCCGCCCCGGACCCTGGCCAGCAACCTAAACCGCGCTTCAGATACGACGCCGAGAAGTTGCTTCTTACGGGCCCCGAAACCTTGGATACATGGCTGGCGCAGACGGAGGCCATCGCGACTGCCACCAACTGCTATGCCGAGCTCACGCAGCAGTTCAATGTGGCCACCTTCCCACCCGACGGGACGGTCATGGCCTTGATCTGCAGCGCCCGCTTCAACACGGCCTGGCGCATCCTGGAGGAGACCATATCAGGCCCCGTGTGGGCTATGATGCGCGTGTACAACCTCCAAGGTCACTACAAGTCCCACTTGCTACCATACGACCTGTACAACTTTGCTCGCTGGGCTGCTGGTCGCATGCACCTGGCTGGCACCGAGGAGCAGCCCCAGGATGAGCGCATGGCCATGATCACGGAGCAGTCCATCGCCAACCAAAACTTCTATCCGAGTCCTAAGTGCTACACGGATGGCTGTACCTGGCTCAGTGACAAGCTGCACGAGCTCATCCGGCTGGGGGACTGGAGGGTTGCGGCCGCTATGTACGACCCGCTTCCCGACTGGGCCCCCAGGCCGCCCGCTAGTGTCGAGTCCACGCAGGGAAGCCCCAGCACCGACTCCCAAAACCTGGGCCAGCCACAGCAGGAGCATGATCAGCAGCAACAGCAGCCACAGCAACAAGTACATCAGCAATCCAACGGGAAGGTTGAGTATGCATCACAATACCCTCCACTCCCCGGCGGACAGACGGACGCGCAGCCCTCGGCGGCCACGTCCTCATATGGCTACGCCGCTCCCACGGGATCATACCCTCGGCCCCCCGGGCCCAGCGAGGAAAGCCCCAAGGTGGAGGCACCAGGGAGGGTAGATGATAACCCGCCTCCCACTAAACGTCGACGGGGGAGGCCGAGCAAATATGCCTGAAGTCAAGAATGGCGCAAGCTGGTGCTCTCTCAGGTCCGGTCCTGGGTGACGCACCTGGCTGCGTCTTGGGGCGGTTTCGCTTTTTCTTATTTATCCCTGCTTTTACTGCTATTCTTCTCTAAACCCTATTGTTTATTTCAAGCAGCAACGCCACTGGGCTCATCGGCATACTCTCCCCTCCTCGTCTATGCTGGTGGGATAGTAGATGGCGTCGGTGGTGGCCTCGTATGCGGGTCGTTGGGCCTGGTGTTCGGCGTGGGCGTCTTTCATCGATACTTGGGATGCGGCGTGGCGTTGTTTTCTCGGGAACATCATGCCAGAGGAGTCGTGAAAACAAAACGAATCGGAGGGACCGGGCTTAGGTATGGAGCAAAACGCGTTACAGGAGTCTTTTTTTCGATGTATGATGGAACACCAAGCCACCCTTTTCTGCTTTTATTTCCCGTCCGCTTCACTATTCCCATGCCTAATTTATTGCTCGCTTTCTTGGTCGAGCACCTGGTATTTCTCTCCCCTTTGTCACTTTTCTTCCCACTGATTGTCCCTTTTCTGCTGCACGAGGCAACTGCTGCCGTTTACGCAGCGGCGCCCATCTGCGTGGGAAGGAGCCGAGGTTAGGCTTCACGGTTAGGCTTTGCGGCGGCGGGGCCAAGGGCAGAAACAAGGGCATCCGGGGTAGAGACTATACCATGGGAGGATTCCTGCGATTGCACTTCTCTGCGATAGTGGGCTGTCTCGGACGGGTCCAAACGGTCTCACGAAACAGCGAATCTCTTTCTTTTTCTCTTTCGGCTGTTGAATGAACAGCGGTTACGCATGGTCGTCGTAGGAATCAGCAGATAAAAGAAGTATACCATTTCCATCAAGTCCCATGATATACTCGAGGGATATGGTCTCGCTGCGGGCAGGGTGCAGTCTCGGCTCCGCGTGCTGGTTCGACGCTAGCTACCGAATCAAAAGCTAATAGAACCCCTGAAACGTGTCCTCCTTGTCGCGCGCGACCCGGGTGACAGCGTCCGCGACGGGCTCATCGCCCCCCACGACGTCGAACGCGAGCCCGACGGCGGCGCGGTCCCGGACGCACTCGACGAGCACTGCTGCGACGTCGGCGCGGCTGACGGTCCTCCTGCCCGCGGCGCTCAGGCAGCCGGGGACGCGGCCCGCGGCGACGGTGCCCTTGGCGTCCTCGGCGGGACCCAGCCCTCCCGGCCGCACGACGGTGAAGTCGAGCCCCCTGCGGTCGTTGCCCCGGCACAGCTCGGCGTCGGCGGCGAGCTTGGCGCGCGCCCACGCGCCCATCGGCCCGCCCCAGAGCCGGTCGCTGCCCGCGACGTCGTCGGGCGTGTACCACGGCGGCACGGGCTTGTGCTCGCGGTCGCGCAGGTCGAGCATGGAGACGCTGACGAACCTCTTTGCCGCCGCCGCTGCCTGGTTTTCGGCAACGACGACCTGGGCGCAGGCGTCCATGGCCTTGACGGCGGCGAGGTGGTCGACGGCGTCGATGCGGCCCGGGTCGGCGCCGAAGGGCGCGCCGGCGCACCACACCACGACTTCGGGGACCGGGTCGGCGGCGCGGATGGCGGCGGCGAGGTCCGCGACGGTGCAGGTCTCGAGGTCGAGGGCGATGACGGACCGCACGCCCAGGCGGCGCAGGTCGTCGGCCTGCGACGGGTCGGCGCCCGCGCGGATCAGGCTGTGCACCGCGTGCGGCGGGTCCTGCGCCAGGAGCTGGGCGGTCAGCTGCCGGGCCAGCTTGCCTGCGCCGCCGAGGATGAGGGTTGTGGGCATGTTTGTGGTGCGTTGGGCGCGGGGTGTGTAGACAGATGTGTCTGAGAGGGTGGGGTTGGAGGGTGTGAGAGTGAGGTACTTGCTGAGTTGGGGTTAGGTTATGAGGCCGAAAGCAGATCGGATTTGACATAATCAATGACGATCCGTAGGATATCATCTTTGGATCCCATTGTTGCTTTGTTCATCAGGCACAACACCTCGACACAATTTGCACGTTTGCGACTTCGGGTTCTTCATTCCATTGTCAGCCATGGGTACTATCATATCTTTGTGGCTTGTTGTTTCGTTAGTGAGCTGTTCTGGAAGTTGAAGTCTAGTGGTTGATGATGGAGAACGGTAGAAGCAAGATATTGACGCATTCCATCGAGCTGACGTTCACGGAGGCAACCAAAAATTAGCAGGCTCCACTATCTTTTGGTGGCTCATGTACTAACTGAGGTGCCGGCAACCATTGGAGCTAGCACGGTTCCAGTAATCCGAATCGTCCATTCGAACTTAGGCACATACCTTAAAGCAAAGTTATCATTCTTCAACAGGAATTTTCAAATCGATGACCCTCAATGTGGTCATAGAGGAGTCAGAGTGTCTGCAAGTGCTACGACAAAAAAAAAGAGCGAAACAATAAAACACAAGATGAACGCGGCCCAACAAGCCAACCTCACCCGCCTGCGCGCCGCCTTCCCGGGCCGGGCCGGGCTGGGCGCGTACCTGGATGAGCCCAAGGCGTGGCCGGGGTCGCGCGTCATCTTCCACACAGCCGGCCACGTCGCCATCCACGACCTGTACCCCAAGTCCTTCATCCACTGCCTGCTGCTGCCGCGGGCGCCGGCCAAGCGGGCCTTGCACCCGTTCGACGCGCTCGACGGGTCCGACCCGGAGTTCCTGGCCGAGACGAGGGCGCAGGCCGCGCGCCTGCGGTCGCTGGTCGCGGCCGAGCTGCGCCGCCTGCTGGGGCGGGACAGCGCGGCCGAGGCGGTGCGCAACGCGGTTCTGGACGGCACGGCCGACGCCGACGCCGACGGGGGGCTGCTTCCTGATGGCCGCGACTGGGAGGCCGAGGTGCGCGTGGGCGTGCACGCGGTGCCGAGCATGGACCACCTGCACATCCACGTGCTGTCGCCCGACATGGCGGGCTCGGGCATGAAAAAGAAGAACCACTACCTGTCCTTCAACACGCCCTTCTTCGTCGACCTCGCCGACTTCCCGCTGGCGGCCGACGACCCGAGGCGTCAGGGCGGCTTGATCAAGATGCACCCCATGGCCTGCTGGAGGTGCCAGAAAGACTTTGGGAACAAGTTTGAGGCCCTCAAGAGACATCTGGCTGAGGAGTTTGAGGAGTGGAAGAAGGAGTAGTCGACTGGTGTTGCGCTACAGTCTGGGGTTCACAATGTGTCTACGACGAGGGGGAGCTGGGCGACAAGGAAGAACAATAAATTTGTCTCAAGGCTTCGATCAACGGCAGAACAGACGAGGCATCACAGCCGAGTGCGAGGTGAAAACACAAATAATAAAGCAATGAGAAAACAAAGTCCCTGGTCCCCTTCCCAGCGCCCTGCCACCCGGATTCCGTCCACATGTCGTTTCCTACTATCTAGTGAGAACTTCAAACCTCCTCCCTACCTACCCTTTGATTATGTTATGTTAACTGAGCATTTGTATTATCCTTTGTCCCGTCGTGATCCCATGCGACGAGGTAGTACAAGAGAAATTGAGCACGCCCGAAAAGAAACGCAAGCGCAACCAGCAAAAACAGCAAAAAGACCAACCCCAGAGACGGACGGTAGAAATCCTGGACCGCCTAGCGCCACGGCGAGAGCAAGCTGCGCCAGCTACGTTCCACGGGAGGGGCTGGAGCAGCTGCGCCTTTGATGACACAAAGAATCGTCAATATCTTGCTTGGCGTGGTAGAGGCGACGCGCGAGATGGCACAAAGCGGCGTGGTTGGCGTGTCCATGCTTTTGTGCGGCACAAGATCCTCATCGCTACCAGCCCCCGTCGTCACTCTGGTCGATGAAGGAATCGACAGTCTGCTGGAGAGCTTCACGTGCCGGACAGGGTTGAAGGAAGGGCACAATTAGCTGCGATCTGCTTGTCCCAATCGCACCACCAAAGTGTTTTTTTTTCTTTCTCAGCATTCTCATCTTTGATTCCTCCAAAGGCGGCAAGGAGACTGACAGGCAAGGTCGGCAGGGATGAGCCGAGAGGGCAGTTGGCAAAGCACCAGCAACACAATCGTCATGGACCATCCACTTGGAGCAGGAGCAGCCGCAATAGCACTCAATATAAAAGGTAATGATGATGTGGGGGGGTTAGGACTTACCGTCGTCAAGCTCATCGTCCTGCTCCGCCTCGGCATCGTCATCGGCATCGGCGTCCTCGGCCTCGCCGCTGGCGGGCTCCTCGTCCTCAGCTTCCGCAGCAGCGGCGGCGCTCTTGCGGGCCTTGGCCGCGGCTCCCTTGGGGGGCCTGCCGCGCGGCTTGGGGCCACCGGCGGCGGCGGTAGCCTTCTT